TTAGGTATACCTTACTTCTGATTTTTATAAAAGATACTTAAAGTTGCTGCAGATCTCTAGAACAGAATAAAAATTTCACAACTTTCATAATTTTTTAAAATATGTACATGATCTTTTGAAATGCGGTCTTATTTTCTACTAATGTGATGGAGTTAACTAATAAGCACTTAGTCACGGTCTGTTTACGATAAACCACTATTTATTTTGCAATGTCTTAAGAGTTAAGATAATAACCTAGATTAATACTGTAGGTATATAAACAAAAACATAAACTTAAGTATAGTAAATATTTACGATCATGTTAAAAATATGTTAAATTAACTGATTTTATATACAAAAAGAAATGTCTTTGGATTAAACTGTTCTGTATTTGCTATTTGGCAAGATTATTATATTATCATCTTTATGGCAGTAAAATTGGCGGGAAACTATTTTACGTTGATTTTAATTGGATGTAACTTGAGTAGATTTTTTATTACGTAACAATTGCATACATATAAACTAATATGTACATCTTTTTATTTCATAAACGATATGTCTATATAACGATATGTATGTATGTTTATATATAAATATAAATATATGATACTTAATACTTATGTACACCAATTTCAAAGTAATATTGTCTCAATTAATAATAATGCCGTTGGTAGGAACTTTACTAAAAAACAAACATTTTAGTATTTAAGTATATTATAAATATAAAAAATATATATTTATAATATTATGATTTTAATTTCATTCTTGATTTATGCGTATGTTATTGGATTGCCCTTGAAAGGCTATGAAGATCGAATAGCAAACTTGCTCCGTATTAGATGGCAACTCAATTTATTAAATTAATGTCAGTAATTGCTAGATATGGAATATGAGACGATTTTTTTTATTTATTTCGTATTGTTGTACTGTTTCTGTCCCTAAAAATAAATCATTGTAAAATTTTATGTTTATGTACAATTAATAAAAAAAAAATCTCAAAAGTTATCTAGGTATGACAGAAAAGTACGCGACAAAAAATACATACCCATATCTAAAACTTAATTTGCTTAAAAGTAAAATTTTGATTTGGCTGCACAGAATTAGAGTTAGCGGCTTAAAGTTAAAATTCATGTGGAGTGTTCATTGAAAATCCTAAAGGGAGCCAATTTACTTAACTTTTTCGCATTTCAACAAGTCGAGAGGCTTCATAGTAGAGGGAAACAAAATTAAGTCAAATATTTTGGAATACAAAAACTGAGTGAACACTCTATTTTTACTCTAGCTTCATTGTTAACAAATGAATGCACAAGGTGGAGTGTCTCAAAAATGAGTCTCTATTCTACCAAAACCAACATATTTGACATATTATTTTGTAATTAACAACTCTCTTTCTCTCAATTCTACTGAGATAGCAACAATTAAGCTAAATAACTAACTATAGCGACAACTAAATAAAATTGAAGTGTCTGTTTGTAATGTCAAAATAACAGCTTTTTACTAAATGCATATGATATGTATTATATACGGTACTTTATAATTAAGAAACACACGATTTGTAATGCCTGTCTGTTTGTTCCGCCTAATCTTCGAAACGGTTGGACTGATTTTGACGGGACTTTCACTGGCAGATAGGGGATGTTTTAAGGAGTAACTAAGGCTACTTTTATTTTATAAAAGGAATTAGGATTCCGCTCGAAAAACTTTAAAACGTATCTAGGGATACAGCCTAGCGGAGCGAGCAATTTCATTAATATAGAGCAATTTCAGTAAACATTATAGTCGAATTGTGACAAGCAAATGTTTACTTGCTAGTCTGTTAATATGCTAATGGGAAATACATGTAGGTACTAGGTAGTGTTGTCACAAATACGGTTGCATGAGTTAAATAGATATTACTCTGGTAAGTAAATTGTCTATGTTTTAGATTGTCAATCTCTTAAAATACTATTATTTAACCAGTAATTAACATAATGTGATAAAATTTTTGACCGATATCAATATTATCTATAAAGATTTGTAGCCCACGCTGGCCATGATTGAAGAAAGTTGGAAGGGTAAAGAGTGACATAAACTTACTTTACGAGATATTTTTAATATCTTATTTTTTACGGGAAAAAGCGATATAATATATAAGTCACTGGTTGATTCCTCATACAAACATTCATCATTATTTTCACCCCCCTAAGGGATGATTTCCGGGATAAAACTATACTATGTCCTTCCCAGGGTCTCAAACTATCGTCTTACCAAATTTTATCTAAATCGGTTCAGTAGTTTCGGAGCCTATTCAGTACAAACAAACAAACAATCAAATCCTTCCTCTTTATAACATTAGTACCTATAGATTATGGGAGTATAATATTAATAATATAAATGCAAAAGGTATCATACGAGGGAGGCGATGGAAACGGGGGTCACTATAAGTTTGATAGTTAAATATAGGTATTCTAAAGCTGTATAATACTCGATTAAATAGAAATTCTACAAAGGTAGTTCAAAATCACTGGTCGTTTCTGCTAATTTTATTGCGTAGGAAGTAGGTACAGGTTAGTTGATATCATACAGATAAATCCTTTAATTTATATTGAAGTTAATGTATTTATTTATGTTATGTTATTTATAGCACTCAACAGTTATATAAGTTACAAAATTTTGCAATTTTATAATCCTTTAATATCTGTTATTAAATTTATTCGTATTTAAAATGTACCTACTTAAAATTTTAAAAGACTTAAAAAATTAAAATTGTGAACATAAATTATAATCTATAGGTACATATAATAAAGTTGTAACTAAGCCGAATCTGCACATTAAATATTTTTTGGAAAATCTTATTGAAAATTTAGTCATTATTATCGATACAGCGGCCGAATTTATACTTTTTAGAATTTTTCGCTGTGTATCACAAGAGAAAAGTAGGTAACTTCTTTTTAAATAATTAAAATAAACATTTATAATAAGTTATAATTATTATTTCTACGTTAAACCTATCTGTCAACTTTTTAAAGGTCGTAAGTGAATAATCGTCTAGTGTTTTTTATTCAATTTAACGGTTAAGCCCTATTAACATTTAAAAACTTCCAAAGTCAACAAAACAATCGAGTTATAGTTTCTCTGTCGGTTGTAATTAATTTAACTCGATTTTCTAAGTGCATTAGCCTAGAAAGTGTTGCAAGAAAACGAAAGCACATACTCGATTACTCACTTTTTCTTCTCTATGGTTACATATTTAATATTATAATACAATGGCGGAGCATCTTGGTTATATTGTTTAAACAATGCGATTAGTAGCCTATTGTTTGTTTACAAATTAAATAGGCAACAAAATTAAACTAATTTTTATTTGACATATTTTTTTCTGTCCATATTTTACTTTTAATTACGTTAAGACAAATTAAAAAAATAACATAGTCACTTTATTTAATCTATTTGCATGTTATTGAACATTTAATTTTTATACTACACGTCTGTCAAATAAATAATTAACTTATACACATTTTTACCAAATATGGATGTCTATTAATTTCATTTCTGCCATATTGCAAAAAAAGCGCGCGTTCAAGTGCTTAATATTTTTTTACACTGACGTAATCTTGTTGACTGTTGAATCTTTAATTTTCTTTCAAACGGTTGAATGATTTTACATTTTATACAAATATGTATACATATAAATATTAATACGCTGCAAATTAATCTTTTTATAGGGAGATTGTTTGTACTGTTTAATTCTAAGCGTTAGTTACTTGGAAATCCTATCTACGGGCTGCGGACTCGGACTGTCTAACTACTCGTATCTCATAACATATTAGGCAGTAAGAGCTATAATTAACTTAATGAATTCAATTCAACTAATTTTCTTCATTTTCCATGTTTTGTTTGTATTTGCCTAAATTTTGATTTAGATATTTTTCCATCCCAAAAATGCCACTAATACATATTTTTCATAAATCATTCATTGTGAAAAACTAACGTAAAAAGTAAAAGTATGTAAATTTAAAAGCTTATAAAATAAATATGTTGTTGGGAAATTAACATATACCACCATCTAGTTCCATGGTAAGCTACGAGGCTTGTGTTATGGATACTAGATAGTTGATACACTACACATATATAACTTTAAATACATACATATTATAAATATAAACACCCATGACTGGAATACAAATATTCGTGCTCATCGCACAAATAAATGCCCCTAGCGGGACTGAAACCCGTGTCTGCTGACGCAGCAAGTAGAGTCACTACAAACTGAGCCAAACGTGTCGTCATAATAATAAGGCCACCTATTTAAATTATTGGGCATCGAACTATAAATAACGTTTTAATAAAGCAAACGAGGTGTATGAACCATATTACTCGGTTAATTTATATTAGTAATAATAAAATAGTTCTAATAATTGTGCCTCTATAGAGCGCAGTTGTCAGAGCATCAAAAAATTGTTCGCAGGTTTATTATTATTTTAGAGAAATATCGCACTGATGTTGGTTGTTGGAATTTAATGATTTATGAAAGAAAATACTTCAAAATATATTGCTCCTCCTAAGACTGTGTTCTTTCCTAAATTTGACTCGTCAGTCGTCTGCCATTTAAATGTGCACAAAATCTATACAGATAAATAAAATTGTAGTGTCTGTTTGTAATGTTAAAATAACAGCGTTTTGCTAAATGCATATGAAGTTATATACGGTACTTATCAGAAAAAAATATTTTTTTAAAGTTTTGTCTGTTTGTCTATTCCGGATAATAGCTGATGTTATAGGGAGTAACATAGACTACTTTTATTTTAGACAAAGAATTAGGTTTCCACTCAAAAATATTAAAACGTACCTAGGGACGAACCCGACCGAAGCGAGGGTGAGTTGCTAGAGTAACTATATAGCTAATTATTTAGTTAGTGTATGGAAATTGACAAATTATAGTAAAATTGCTTGTTTTGTTGCAGATAATTGAGCAGGGGGTGGAAATTGGCGGGGGTGGCAAACGATGGTCGCGGGGTGTGTCGAGCTGAGCCGCGCCCGGCATGATGGCCGCGCTCTCCTGCTACCAGCCCTGTCGCTCGCACCTCGCGCAGCCTGCTAGGTATTAATGCTATATGATAAAAATTTGATAAAGTCCAATTTGATACATTCCATTTTATTTATATCTTAGACTAAAGAATTATATAGACCGAACTCGCCAAAAAATGACAAAGTCAAAAATAGTAGCGCGATTTGCTGTTTATGCTATCATTCTTGATTTTGTCATACTTATAATATATACGATATGGTTACGTACCTCTTTAAATCGCTGTTTTAGCGCTTAGGCCGATTCTTGTGCATTTTCCTACCACTTGTTACTACTACACTTGTACTATTGTTTTAGTCTTTTTTTGTATGAACAATAAAAAGTTTTTATTTTTATTATAGCAATTCCGTAGATTTTCTTTATTAATCTCTACACACTAATAAATCATTAAAGGATTTAAAGTCGAACATTGATTCATTTGGGGGGAATATCGCTTTGAGATAAAAACCAAATCTAGATTCTATATAGTCTTATCTATTTATCGAGCATTATTTAAGAGCGAAGATTTGAGATGAGATTTAACTTACTCTCCCTTATTAATGCGTTTTAGCTAAACCAGACACTAAATAAAAATTAACATGCGAACAAATTCACTGTACTTTGATAAGTCGGACTATATGCCAGACTATATGACCTCCTGACATACAAACACATGTGTATATTGAGACTCCTTCACCCTTAAAAAAGCTGGACGGATTTGGATGAAATTTTGTACACGAATATACTTTGACCTGGATAAACTTATAGGTTACCTTTAGGCATCTAGGGACGAACCTGAACGAGAGGTTAAGTCGCTAGTCTATACTAATATTATAAAGAGGTAAAGTTTGTGAGTTTGTGATGTTCTAGGGGGTAATTTCTGGATCTACTGAACCGATTTAGATGAAATTTGGTAGGAAAATTGTTTGAGACCCTGGTAAGGACATAGGATACTTTTGATCCCGGAAATCATTCCTTAAGGGGGTGAAAATGGGGATGAAAGTATGTATGGGGAATCAAGCTAGGGACGAACGAACCAGAGCGAAGCGAGGGTGAGTTGCTAGTACAAAATAATTCACAACAATGCTGTAATAGTTACAGCAGCAATGCGACTGTAATCGATACATACAACACTAATTATCCTCTATTACCTCGAAGCTCGGCTTGAGCTGCAAACACTAACCATGCCTTGTAATTATTAAGGTTTTAACTTGCATCTTCAATGTCTTGGCGACCGATTAATGATAGCTTTTCCGTCGCATTCATCGTGATATCGAACTACAAATTACATATTGTGTGGTAAAATATTAGTGCTTAAAAATGATTGCTTTTTTGTTTTCTTACAATATCTTCTTATATATCTATCAATGATTTAAGCAAATTTTTCATCCTTTCATGCTGTTAGGTATATAAAATACTTTTAATGATATTCTCTAGGAGTAGGCAAGTGGCTGGAGTCTGATATTGTAATTCAATAACAGAGCTTCAATCGTAAGAATATACTATGAAAAAATCCTTTAGATGCAGCTGTTTGATCTAGTACTTGATGAATTCAGGCAATTTAAAAGGCCTCCTTGGAACAGAATAGGCAGAATATTTGTAAAAAATCTCCAGTACCATGAAATCTGAGAAAATGGTTTTTTTAGCTTCATTTTTAAAATTTATTATTATGTAGGTGCCTGGACGACGACGACGACCCGTCAGCAGCGACTCTATCAGTGCGCAGACGACAGTTCATAGAGAGATGTCACGAAGCACGGACGGGACGACATCGGGACCTCATACCTGAGGTCTCCGTGAAGAGGACCAGGGAGGAGTTGGCCAAGCATGCGGCACAAAACGCGCAACTGACGAGACGACTGAATGTCGAGTCTGGATGGTCGAAGGTGGAAGAGGTCCGGAAAAAGTTTGAGGGTGCTGCGACTACTTCTTATTCGAGATCGTTTGAATCTCCGCCTAGGTGAGTTTGATGTTTGGTTAAAAATGTTTAGTGAAGAGTTATCTATACATCTTCTATACAGATGAATAAAATTGAAGTGTCCGTTTGCAATGTCAAAATAACAGCTTTTTACTATGCATATGAAATTGTATACGGTATTTATAAGAAAAACACAATTTTTAAAAATTTTGTCCGTCTGTCTCTTTGTTTCGGCTAATCTCCTAAACGGCTGGGCCGATTTTGACAGGACTTTCACTGGCAGGTAGTTGATGTTATAAGGAGTAACCTCAAAAAAATTAAAATGTATCTAGGGACGAACCCGAGCGAAGCGAGGGTGAGTCGCTAGTGCTTTACTATATATTTTTTTTGACATCTGTAATAAATAGGCCATTGATTTAAAACTAGCCGCTCTTTTAAATATATGAATTCTGATAAGAGTGTTTCGCTGGGTAGGCTATATTATGACCTATATGATCATTAGGTACGATGACCTCAGCTGGGTAAGATCTTTAGTTGTCTTGAGTGCGCCCTGATTAAGCTATCACTCTATTACTATTAAAAGTATATACATATACAATACCACTATTAGATATTATACTGCTATTTGTTACGTTGTCACGTTTACTTTATATTAATATGACGATATAGCAACTAAAAGAGGTTACAAATATAAATTAAACATGTCTCCTCAAGCGTTACCTCTTTGAAGTCCTAGGGTCATTAGTTGTCTTACAGAGGCACATTAATTGTCTCTTTATTTATAACGGGCCAACCGTGTAGCTCATATGGCTGAAGTTATTAAAACACTAATGATATACAATAATCTTTTAAAAATAACCTAAATTATAGCCATTTACATTATTTATAAGTAATTTATAAGATTTTAAGAGAGTACATCTCTAAAATAGTACATCTCCCCCGTATTGGGAAGTCCGTGCCCAGCAGTGAGACGTTAAAAAGGGTTGAATACAAAAATAAACCTTTAGATATATCTATTTATTTGCTGTCCAGGCGTCGTCTAGCAGATTCTCTGTTCGCCTCGTTCAAGCTCCCGCGCAAGAAGGACATGGCGGCGTCGCGGTCGCTCGCCCAGCCGCAGCAGAAACGGAAGTCTGCGGTGGAACTGTTGGCGGAGACCAAAGCGTTTTATGTTAAATCTGAAACTGTGTTGGATAGAAAGCAGGAGTTACCTTTGAGGGTGAGATCTTTATGTATATTGGATCTAATTCTTACATTGACATATTGTTTGTGCAAATATTCCAACTTACGATTTACAAATCGGGTTTTACACTTTATGTGACTTGGATATGCGCATGCGCATTCACACAGAATTTAGGTGACGATGCGTTTTAATGTAATGAACAATGTTTTTTAAGCACGCACCTTTACAAAGTACAATACGCATGTGTACGTTGATAAACAGCAAAAGTCTCCTAAAATAGAATATTTTTAATAATTAATACATATGTAAATTGTAATTTACATATGTACTAATTATTAAAAATATTCTATTTGATGCTGCTTTGATGCTTTTATATTAAAGCAAAAAAATTAAATTAAAAATATTATCTCTCTGTTATTTGTGTTACGTGTGTAAAAAACAATGATTAAAAACGTGTTATTGCCAAAATGTTATTAACCAACCAACATATTAATAATATGAAAATTTATATATTTTACACTACAGGTAAGCAGCGGCCTTAGTCAAGCGATAGCTGCTGGTGGCTGTCACCTCGTCAGCTCGGGCACCCTCAACAATGAATGCTGTAACCCTTGTAAGAATAATAATTTTGTACTTCTATATTCTATATTATTCTATGTCTTTCTCTGTCTATATCTTCTTTTCTATCTCTCTCACTCTCTCTTATTTGTTGTTTAAAAATGTTTAGTGACGACCAACGACTTTTACCGACTATTTTGGCATTATTTGGGTTTTGACCAAATTATTTCTGTTATACTTATATGAATCAAAATATTAGGAAAAGTTTCAGTACAAAATAACAATTTAGATGTTTGAATAAAACTATTTTATTATAAACCAAAAGCTTAAAAATATTTAATTCATCTTAAATTCTTAATATTTTATTAAATACGAAAGCTTCACCAAATAAAACTCATTTCCCAAAACTAAATAGTTTTAATTACTCGTACCAAAATATTTCAAATTGTTAGTTTTCCGTTTTCACAGTAATTAACTGGGACGTTCTGATGATACTCTATTATAATTTGCCGCCGGAAATTATTCTCATCAGCTAATTTGCCAAATTTCACACGCACATTCGTTTCTATGGTAAATGTCAGCCTGTAGATTGTTCTAATGATTGAGTACGAGTATAAATGGTAGATTACTTTCACGAAAATCTCCAACTCCATTATTAATGACTACCGACTTTTACGGCCCTTGTTTCGCTCGGTCCTTAGGTGCCTTCAGTATTTTTGAAGTGAAACTTCTTTAGAGTCGGTGTGATTTGACACTCAATGAAACGAAAATGTGACACTAAAAAAAGACAAGACATATAAATATATATAGGATTAAGCCGGCGAGAGAATGAAATAGAATACATTGCCATGTTGCCATGGTAATCTTTGTTATTGTCTGACAAATTTATAAAAATATATTCTTTCCGTATATGATATTTTATAAATATATGATTGTAATGTGCCTTATTTAATAATGATTGAGTTGTTTTAATTTAATTGCGATATTTGCCCAAGAACTTTTACTTCAACCACGCGTAAAGGTTACATGCACCTTACTTTTTTATATACAGAATGCGCCATCTATTGGAAATTAATATTACTAACCATAGCCTATGTTTTGCTCCAGAAGAAAAGTGCGTACAATATACAATATAGACTATAAAGTCTTTGTACTTTTGATCCAAACCCGAAGGAGTAGCACATATGTACCTGCAAACTTTAATAATTATAGTAACGGTGTGATTATTTTAAGCTTTTCTATGTATGGATACATGCAAGTTCAGTACATCGTTTCTGCTAACGAGCATAGTTTTGTAAAATCGAAACTTTATGAATAAAACTTTTCGCCCGTGGGACGGCCACTACGCGTATTATGTTGATAACAAATAGCACATATTTATATTTGTGTATGAATTTTGATAATCTGTTCAGAAGTCCTGAGAATATTACCGACATAATGATAGGCATTATTTTAACTACGTAAAAGTGGTACTGTAATAAAGCCGTGGTAGATGAGTGGTAATGCGTTTGCTTGGGTTCAAATCTCATCTCATTTGCGAGTCATTTCCAACATACCTACCACTTGTCTTACGGTGAAGAAAAACTTGTGAGGTAACCTAACCTAGCATGTTTTCGGGAAAGACAAGTCCGCCACTTGGCCAGCGTGGTGGACTATGGCCTGATTTCCCTTGTATTGGCCAGAGCCCAGCAGTGGGACGTTAAAAAGGACTGCATTGCATACGTACATAAAATCCGTGGCTTCTGATGGTACTTTTGAACTATTTAAAAATGAACTGAAAAGTCATATTTATTTTAACTGAAGAGTCATGTTACTTTAAGTACACAATATAATCCAAAATAGTTTTAAAAATCTATTTATATGAATAATATAGTATATCGATAAGAATTGAACCTATGATCTCTATTTAGTTATGAATATTACCACTGAACCAATTGCGTCTTTAAATTGTTTTTTTTTAATTTAAGATGCAACTACTAGAATAGCGAGTACTCGTCGCGCGGTCAGCGCCGGTGAGGGCCTTCAGAATACTCTGAGACGACTTCTGGAACATTCCGATAGTCGGGAAAATGTCTACTCGCCGGCTTATGTCTGTAAGTTTTGATTGTTTTTTGATTGTACTTACATAAAAGTTTAAATATTTTTTAATTTTCTTGTAATACATTTGAAACGAATTGGTGTATGTTGGTCTCCGACTCCAAAAACTGAGTCTACTATGTCTAGAAGTATGAAACCGGAATTTTTTGTAAAAATTACAGGACTGTTGTTTGAAAATTGTAAGACATATTTTATTCAAAATAATTTCCATTGCTATGTATGCATTTTTCCCACCTCTCCGGCAATTTATGAATGCCACGCCAAAAAAACAGTTCTTCTTTTGAAGCGAACCAGTTATCGAGCCATTTTCGCACATTTTCATACGAATTGAAGCGTTGTTCAGCGAGAGCGTGTCCCAGTGAAACGAATAGATGATAATCGGACGGGGCCAAGTCTGGAGAATAAGCCGCATGAGGTAAAATTTCCCAACTAAACGTCTCGATCGTTTCCCTGATCCGTTTTGCTGTGTGTGATGGGGCATTGTCATGGAGCAAAATGACATTGTGTTGTCTTTTTTCATATTCCGGTCGTTTTTCACGTAATGCTCGATTTAAATCAATCATTTGCTTTTGGTAGCGATCAGTGTTAACGGTTTCCCCAGGTTTTAACAGCTCATAATAGATTATACCTTTCTGATCCCACCAAACACAGAGCATTGTCTTCTTTTCAAAGCGATTTGGTCTTGCAGTGGATGTCGATGGTTCGCCTGGATTCACCCAAGATTTATGACGTTTAGGATTCTCGAAATATATCCATTTTTCATCACCTGTTACGATTCGATGGAGAACTTTCTTTTGTATCTGCCAAGCAGCATTTCACAAATGGTTTTTCGATTTTCTTGCTGCCTTTGATTCAGTTCATGCGGAACCCATTTTCCTACTTTCTGAATCTTTCCCATAGCTTTCAAACGAATAGATACTGCTTTTTGCGTCACATTCAATTGATCCGCGAGTTCTTGTTGAGTTTGAGTATCATCTTCATTCAATAAAGCTTGCAATTCGTTGTCTGCGAACTTTTTCGTTGGTTTTCCACGCTCTTCGTTTCTCACGTCAAAATCACCACTTTTGAATTTTTTGAACCACTCAAAACACTGTGTTTTACCAAGAGCATGTTCACCGTAGGCTTCGACAAGCATTCGATGCGATTCTGCGGCAGTTTTCTTTAAATGATAACAGAAAACCAATGCTGTCCGCAAATCGTAGTTCGTAGGCACAAAACTCGACATGTTTAAGGTTATAGAAAAATATACCGGAGTATAGAATTTGGGTTGTTGTGTATTGAAAATCTTCGTCAGCTGTTAGAAGGAGATGATGGTGCTGCAGAAGCGGTCTTACGGTTCTTAAGCTGATGACTAGTACCATCTATAAGGAAATTCCGGTTTCATACTTCTACACCTATGTAATATCTAATCTTGGAAATTCATACAGATATAACTTTTTCATAAATTCGAAGATACCTCTGTTCAGTAATAAAACTAAACAAAATTATTTGGATACTCAATTAAACTCATTAAAATGTATTAGATACAAAAATAAAAGCATAATTTTAATTTCCAGCCCAAAAAATGTTTTCCGAATCACGTCGTCTCAAAGACTCTTATCCGGAAAGGGACCCCCGTTCCGGACATACTTCTGGAACATTCTCCGGAACTTCATCCTCTGGTTCCGGATCTAAGAAGGAAGATAAGAACAGACCTCTAAGTTTTGGTGACGCGAGAGTCTTCTTTCCGGAATCCTTTGTGATCCCAAGACAGAGACCAAGTGAATGTATCATCAAAAGCGCTTATTCTATACGTAAATGGTTTTTTATCATATATTTTAATAAATCAAATGCATGTTTCATTCCTATAAAGACTCTTGATAAAAAGTTCCTCATACTTAAAATCACTTATCATTAACATCTATGTATATACGAGTATGTACAACAAAAAATAAGAACCTTTTTTTAATATTTAAAACATGTCGCCATTAAGAGTTATTCCTAACATATCCACTGTGATGATAAATATATACTTCAATAGAAAGCTTATATGTTAGTCTACAATTCCCCTATTCCGAATTTCGCTCAAATCTGTTAAGTCGTTACAGCGTGAAGAAGTAACACGCATACACGCACATACGCTTATTCATACACACACGCACGCACGCACGCACTCACGTGCACGCGCACACGCACACGCACGCACACACACGCACGCACACACACACGCACGCACACACACACACGTACACGCACACACACACACGTACACACTCACGTACACACACACACACACGTACACACACACACACACACGTACACACACACGTACACACATACACGCACATACAATTTTTGACATGAATATTATTAGCTTCATTAAAATATTTCATTATATCTTCAAACAGCCAGCCCTCAGTCGAGCCCGCACGACGAGCAGCCGCGCACGGACGCACTCGGCGCCATCAGCCCGCCGGCCGAGTACGCGCACTCTGCTCCCAGATACGTACGGTATGTGTTATCCTCCTAAAATAATGGCGAAATCATAATTCATTTCATTAAAGACATTTTGAAAGAGATATATATATATATATATATATATATATATCATTATATATTTTATACGAAGTTCCCTCGTCACGTCTGTCTGTCTGAACTCGATAAAATCAAAAACTTTAAGAACCGGGTGGAGAGGCTCATGATGAAGATTTAGGTATATGATTAATGTGTGCCACTCTCCAGCCCTTCCAACTATCTCCACACAAAAAATCACACATATCCGTCCCTCTGTGTTGACGTGAAAGAAGGACAAAAGAACACATTTCGCATTTATAATGTTACTGGCGATTCACCCTTGCTTCTTTTGAGTTCGTACCTAAGTACATTTTTTTTAGTGGAACTCTAATTCTTTTACTGAAACAAAAGTAGCCTAAGTTACTTCTTGTAAGTTGTAACATCAACTACCTGTCAGTGAAAGTCCCGTCAAAATCGGCCCAGCCGTTTCGGAAATTAGCCGGAACAAACTGACAGACTGACAGACAAAAAATTAAAAGATTGTGTTTTTCTTATAAATACCGTATATAATTCCAAAGGCATTTAGTAAAAAGCTATTATTTTGACATTACAAACGGACACTTCAATTTTATTTATCCGTATAGATATAAATAAATATGAGTGTCGTTCCCAGATCCAACTCGCACTCGCAGCCGTGCGCGCGCGAGGACGACGGCACCAACATCAACAGCCACAAGTCGCTGCCGGACCTGCACGCGCAGGCGCACGGGTATCCGGAACAGTGAGTGATTTTTGGTTAATTATCTAATCATTTAGCCGAAAATATTTACTTTTAGACATATATTTGACTGACTCGATGCTCTCGTGGCTAACATGTGATGATCTGAAAGTCCTGGGTTCAAGTCCCGCGTCGGGTCAATTATAATTATATATACTCCTGAGCAGTTAGCTCGTCTAGTAGTTTTTTTTTAAATAACCAAATTAGTACAGCCGTTTTTTAATGATGAGCTCACCACGTACAGTGTTCCATTTTCATTTGTTTAGTAGGTATGCTTAATCTTACTAGCTGTTATGTAAAAATTACGTAATTTTAGATTTATGCAAAAAATTTCGGCTAGCGATATTAGAATTGAATAGAAAATATACTAGATTATTGTAACTCGTGACTAAAAGAAGAACAATATATATTTTTTTTCTAGCTAGCTACTTATAATTATTGTGACATGTTCATTGATATACAACAACTCAAGATGAGGATGTTTGAGATGCTAATTGTGTAATTCGCGTCTCAAAAATGTACTCAATAAAAAGCGTACAATTCGAAATTGTACACTTTTTTCAAATCTAATTATTAATTGGTTTTCGGATGGCAAAATTAAAACGCACGTTGTGTCGTTTAAAAAAGTACTTTATGTGGTGTGCGTCAGTTCGAATTGGTGTATAGACAATTAGAACTTTCGACTTTTGAATTTTTATTCTTTGGTCTGGTTGGTACGTCACATGCCGACGCCGCTTGTTGAAGGGATATTTATAAGACAATGTGTATCTATCTATACTAATATTATAAAGAGGAAATTTTTTTGTTAGTTTGTACTGAATAAGCTCGAAACTACAGTACCGATTTTAAGCACTTTTTTACTAATAGAAAGCTAAATTATCTCGAAGTAACATAAGCTATAATTTATTTTCAAAAAAAATTGAGATCCTTAAGAAAATTGTAATAATGTAAATTGTATGTAATGTAAACCAAAGTAGTAAAATTTCGCCTATAAAAATCATTATTTGACGAGCGCTGACAAAACTATTGATGATACATAAAAATTATGTACTACATGATTAAAGTACTCATCATTCCCTTTTATATATATCAATAGATATGTCAATTCAAAACATTTTTTACATCATCCTTCGAGCCGGATTTATATGTAATGCCATTATTTCCAGTGTGAATGTAGTAGTGGGCACGGAGTCCATCGGGCGGTCGCCGCGCCGCCGCCGACACTCCGCACACCATCGTACTGCGTCTTGCTCTTCTAAAGGAACTAGGTGAGAAAAAAATTTAAAATAAGTCTATAATCTATTTATGGCGTCGAGATAGTCTTGACATATTCTAAATAGTATATATTATCTGAGAAAAACAAGGACATGCCTGACGTTAGTGCGAGAGTAACGTGTCAAAGACTAAAAAACAAATGTCACACGTAAGGATATTTGAGCGAAATTAAGAAAGGAATTTAACAAAGTTTATATATACCTGAGGTATCTACATAATAGCGCCACGGAGATACGCTGGCCGAGAACGACTTCACAAATTTTTAATGGTTGGGTTAATTTAGTCTATACTAATATCATAAAAGAGGTAAAGTTTGTGAGTTTGCGACTTTGTAGGGGATAATCTCTGGATCTACTGAACCGATTTAGATGAAATTTGGTAAGAAGATAATTTGAGACCCGGGGAAAGGCATAGGATACTTTTTATCCCGAAAATCATCTCTTAAGGGGGTGAAAACGGGATGAAAGTTTGTATTGGAAAAGAGTCGCTAGTGTAGTAATAAACCAGAGAGTACACTCCTTTTTTTTAATATATTCTCTCTAAAGAAGTTCGATTTCTCTACCACGTTGTCTAATTAGGAGGTGAGTGTTGTTTTGATTATAAGAAATTGTTCTTTTTTTTAATTCTAACATCTTTTTATTATAAATATAATAATACGGTTCATTTTTTTGTTTTAGATCGAATCATTCATCTTTGATGTCGTCATGTGACGCGTTCTCCGAACACCCGTCCCCTGGGGAAGAGAATTACCAATCGTACAACAGGTGAGCATTCATACTGATTTCTTAATAACTTAGTACTTATGAAAACCCAAGAAGAACTTAAGTTTTAAAGTGTATATTGAAAAAAAAAGATATTTAAAAAGAAATCAATATAAAATACAATAAAAAAATGAATTATCAAGTTACATAATTTTAATTGGACATGTATTGAATAATAATCTCTTATACATAATTAAAAGATTTTTTCGCGGATTAATTTAGTTTTTTGGTTTTGAATACTATAAAAATAAAATTGCAAATTAGAATATATTTATTACAGACGGCACTTACCTTCAAAGTTATTCATTATTGTAATTTTGTTAATAAAATTGCATCTGTTACAATGACTCTTAAGACATGTACAACCGACCGTTAGTCTCTCCCTTGACCATGATATTTTAAAATTCATACAAATATTATAAATGTGAAAGTGTGTTTGTTTGTCCTTCTTTCACGTCGGAACAGAGTGACTGATTGGCGTGTGGAGATAGTTGGGGGACTGGACAGTGATATAGGCTAATTTTCACCGCGGGATATTATCTCATTCCCACGGGAAAACACGTTATAATAGACACACAACAACTCATCATACCTATGTAATAACCGTAAAACGTACCTAGGGACGAACCCGAGAGAAGCGAAGGTTGAGTCGTTAGTTAGGGTATAAAAGTTTAGTTAGAATTGTATTGAATAGTCTGTTTTTTTAATCTCAGAAACTAAATTAACATGCAAATGTTAAATTTACAAATAATTCTGCAAGCTTTTTGTGCAGTGTTGTACCTACGATACCGGTTTGTTGAATCGTAACTTTTTATCTTAAATCTCTCCACCACCGCGGACACGCCGGCGTTATAGACTACATTTAACAATAGATTTCTTAGAAATTTAATTAATTTCATAGAAATTTACCTGGAGGTGTTATAAGAGGATTCGCTTCAAAGTTTTATATTCCAATGTGTACCAATGAAATTGACATTATTAATTCCAAATCATTAAATAACATATTTATTAAATTTAAATTATTAAGTATCATTAAAATCCACATTATTAAATTTAAATTTGCATAATTTATTTTGTATTATTACGTTTTAAATAAGTACCTACACATTATTTTAGGATAACTTATTATTATAAAAAAACTAACTTAAAAAAAAGATACTTGATTTTATTAATGTTAACTTTTCGATAGTGGCACATCCCTATTTAAGAATTGTGAAAAATTGGTAACCCACGTAATGTCAGTTATGTCTTTGAGATTAAAAAACAGACTATAGTGTATGTTATGTTATCAGCCGCTGCGGGTCGTCGTTCGCGCGCGACTCGGGCGGCTCCAGCGGCCACTACACGCAGCGCAGCGCGCCGCCGCACGCGCGCGACCCCGCGCAGCACGACCGCAGGTTGGTGCATGGCGGCGGCGAGTTAGATTATCGCTCGTATTATGTACAGTATATGTATATATACTTGATTAATACTAGTCTAACAGTGTAGGAAGAATATATGAGCAAACTTGCATGTCTTGGAGAATGTGACAGGTTTTCGAAAGTAGAATCCATAATTAATTGTGGTGGATTTTTTACATTAAACGAGAGAAAGGGACTAATAGTTCACAAAAGACATCTATATATTAACTGACTGTCAGTCACGAATGTCCAATAGTCTCTTAATAAACTGGTTGTATTATATGTACAGACGGACATAACGAAATTCTTAGGGTTCCTTTACCTATAAACTGTGAACCCTAAAAAACCATTCCAAAATGCTTGTTCTCAACGTTTCAACCAGCTACACTATATAAAAGAACATTGTAGAATGTTCCAAACGCTTCCAGATGCTACACGTGGCAGAGCGGCGCCCCGCTGGAGCAGTGCTACGTGTCGGCGCCGCCGCAGTTCCAGGACGGCGCGCCGTCGCCGCCCGCGCCCTACGCGCCGCTGCCCCACCCCCACACCCACCCCCACTCCCAGCACCATCCGCGGGTTGGGATTCACTTTCAGGTTTGTATATACTCGTATGTACCTAAAATAATACCGAAAAATGATGGCCAAAATATTATGTATAGATACAGATAGGCAAATTTGTATATACCTATATTTTTCTTTATCTTGAAACTTCATTTTCACATTCCAAAAAGTTAGGCGTAAGCACTCCTCGCTGTCTTATTATGGAAGTAGCCTAGATAGTATTTACGAGAAGTTGGGAAGCCTAATCATAGTCATTAGTCTGCATCATCATTGTTGTCAGCCTAAGAGTTTCTTCCTCATATACGAAGGTTTCTCTTATCATATGCTCCTATAGCTCTTATAATATTTTTTTTAAATTGTCGATATACATAGAAAAGTATAGCATGTTTATTAAATATTTCTATCTACACTTCTTATTATTATCCGTATTTTAAATATTATAAATGTGAAAGTTTGTGAGTATGGATGTTTGTTACTCTTTCACGCCAGAACGGCTGAACGCATCTGGATAAAATTTGGCACAGAAATAGATTATTGTCTGGAATAACACATAGGCTACTTTTTATCCCGGAAAAATGTACGGCTCCCGTGGGATAGGTTAATTTTTGTTTTCGAAGAAGCGAACCCGAAGGAAGCGAAGGCGAGCCGGTAGTTACTATTTATAAAGAAGAAAGATTTTTATTTTTGTATGTTTATGACGAATAAACTCAAAACCTAATGAACCCACTTAAATGAAATTTGGTAAGAAGATAGTTTGAAACCCTGAGATGGAAATAATCTCTTCAAGGGTGAAAATGGGGATGAAAATTTGTATCGGGAATCTACCTAGGCACACCCGACCGAAGCGAAGGTGAGTCGCTAGTAATAATATAATTATAATATAAACCATATTTCATTTATAATATTGTACATACATAATATTGTATTGCAGGCGAGCGCCCCTCCACCCCAGTTCCAGGACGAGCCATCGCTGTACGACTACGCGGACTACGACTGCACGTACAAAACGCCATTGAAATGCCTATCCGTTGGTAGGAAGGACTATCCCAGAGAGTACTCCAGGTAGGATTTGCGAGGTTATAATTATGCGTAGAATTATATTTGTACAGTAAAAGAGATGTATGAAATTTATTAAAGAATACAATGGAATGAAAGAGGAATATAAGAATGCTTTTTCAAAATGGCGGCACAATGATACGTGTAAACGTGGTTTTCTATAATGTTCATGTATGGTGAAATTTGGTGTGTTTTTCTACAGTGTGAATGCTATGCGATATCTTTATGATTATTTATTTTAACTATGCATTATAAGTGTAGAGTGAGCCTGCAATCCGCCCACAGGTACCACGAGCCCAGCACGGAGCTGGTGAGCAAGCAGCCGCAGTACCAGGAGCCGCGGCCGCGCGACAAGCAGGAGTATGTCAACACGGCACAGGTATACACTCATTTATTGTGTATAAATAAATTTAAAAAAACGTGTATGTGTACTTATGTACGCACGTAAAAAGTTATACTTTTTTGGCGTAACAGAACAAAAATAGCTAAAGATTTCATCCCGTATGTCACAACTCTCTGTTTGTAAAAGGAATGCAGCTAACTTCATCATGTCGCTTTTTGGCTGTCGGTGTGCGCGCACATCGTAAAAATATTACTCTCATATTTTTTTCCAAACGTGCCAAAAGAAGTATATATATAACTTCAAAAAAATCAGCAGAATAAATAACCATACAGTAGGCGATGGCATTTGTTTTTCACGTAAATGCTGTCGAATGGGAGGGTTGTCTAAAAATACTAATTTAGTTAAAGCGTTAGTCTCGTGGCAAGTTATGGTTACATGTGCAAATCCTAATGTCGTTTCCCGACTGCCATACAAAAGTATGTATGACATTCGGGATCGTATCATTCGCGTCTCCCCCCACACGCTCCGTACGATTGCCCTATCTAGATGTCTTCGTTAGACAATTGTATTGATTAGTTGAGTGCGCTAATATTATATTATTCTTCATCCATGAAATAAATATTTATAAATGGTAGCTCAGTGATAACACGCTCGCTTAGGAAACCGAGTGAAGTGTTTCAAATTCCGAGTCTCACACCTGATGTGCGGTATTTTCATGTGCGAATCATTTCCAACATGATTATAACGTGTCTTACGATGAAGGAAAACATCGTGTTCGAAGTTTTCGAAAGACATACTCAGTCTACCAACCCGCACTCGGCCAGCGTAGTGGACTATGACTTGATCCGCTTATTGAAAGGAAGCCCGTGCCCAGCAGTGGGACGTTAAAAATAAGGCTGAGTACCTACTAATTAAATTGTCTTCCCCAGATCTGTACCCCAGAGGAAGTGACGTCACCGCTGGGCACTTTCAAACGGCAGAGATGCCTCCGATACAAGCAGCGCCGGCCGCGGCCGATACTGCGGTCTAAATCTGACATATCTGACAGGTATGTGCATTTATTTTAATGTAGCTTTCCTATTAGTGAACGAATTTTTTAAATTGGATCAGTGGTTTCAGAGATTGCCCGCTATATAATTTACTTGCAATCTTTAACTCATTGTTAAACATTTATGTATGTTTTTTATGGACCATATATGCAAAGTCCAAAACTTTTGATTTTTTCCATTTCTAAATAACATTTCGGATGAATTCATAATCTATACTCGGAATTATAATTCGATTCCACATTTGACATTAGCTACTGTCATTTTGTAAAATAATGATACCGCATATAATAGTGTAGTGATGAACACAAAAATCGATAAACAATCGCGATTTATGTTTATATAATCATAATATTGGTGTGCCAATTAAAGACTAAATTATTGATTTTTATTTAAATAAATACATAATTATTCATAATAATTATTTATTAATTAGTAACCACTGCTTTATTTTATAAAAAGTTAATATTTTTGTTTTTTATATTAAAAACAAAACTTACAATAAAAGAGTCTAGATAGATAGTTTTCTGTATTGGCAACCCGTGCGCGCTCGTGCAGCTATCGCCATTTTGTTTATCTTGTCATTCGGCAGTCGGCTTCATTCTCCCAGTCTGACTGCACGAATATCTTGTTTCATTGCGAATCGATATTTTGTTATTTTGTTGGGTTTTTGCTATGTTGTGTTTGTTGTTATGTTTATAGTTTTTTGTGAACTTTGAGTGAATCTATTTGTTTTGGTTTTCCATCAAAATGGATCCTCAGCCAAGTACATCACAAAAAGACGTGGATGTTTTCTTGTCCCCAAGAAAAAAACGTCCACGAAAAGCTTTCACTGTTACTGAAAAAGTAATGATCCGCAACGCCTACAAATATAATAACACAATAAAACCTTCAAATTGACAGACGTGAGAAATTTATTTGAGGAAGGTATTCAAAAAATTACGGCTACCGAATGGTCTAAATGCGTATCCCATGTTGTCAAAGAAGAGGAAAAAATGAGTAGGCTAGATATGTTAATTGACAATATCACAGACACATTTATAATAAACGTTACAGAAAGCGATAGCGATAGCGATGATGGCGACGATTTATAAAATAAAATATTACCATAATACATCTATTTGTTTTATTTCTCATGTTCCTTCATGATCACATTTATTTATTTATTTCACACACAATTATTAAAGAAAACTCTCAGATCCTTAATAAAATTAATCGTCATAACTAAATTATCCGTTCAGAAATATTTAATTTCCTGATATACTTAGTTTATATTAAAGAAGTAGTAAACAAGATATACTACTATAAACGAGAGGAATCGATCCGGAAATATTCCATTTCTGTATCGAATAATTTCGCAACATCACTATTTAGTACTTGTCATAACGTTGCAACACTGAAATTGTCAAATCTGGAATCGAATTAAAATTCCGAGTATAGGCATCCACCTACTAGCTAACTCAAGATTTAAAAAAAAACCTTTTTTTATTTTTTCGTATGTATGTCCAAAAAACAAGATTTTTTTTTTCTGTATGCTATGAGATGCTTTCATTGCTCACTGTTATTTTTTTTTTAATTTAAAACCCTTAACTAACGTAAATAATAAGTATTTCAGGCTTACGTATAAGAAAATATTTCACTACAATGAATATAATAACTGACAAAACAAAAACTTCCACAATTTTCCAAGATATCCTAAAGCTGCATAAATACCCAAAATTTAATAAAAGAAAATTATTACGAAATCTTAACATTATCATAGATAAGGTGATACTTACTCAGAATAAGAAAATATATAAAGGAGTCTACCAAAATAAATGTCGAAGTCAAAAACAGTAGCGTCATTTGCTGTTTATGCTACTATACTTCGTTTTGCCGTACATATCGTTTACATAATATTTAGGGAATAAAATGTCTAATATATTTAAACTAGCTATTCTTGTATGCAAAATATGGTTGCTAATTCGCACGCTAAGACACAAGCATCGTGGTCAAACAGCCAAAGCGCAAGTTTAACAACCCTAGGTATCTGGGTTCGTATCCTGGTCGAAAATAAAGTTTTTACTTTTGTTTTTTTTGTATTTATCAAATTTTTAGTTTGTTTTTTTTTATGTTTTTTGGCCAAAAACTCTGAGCGAAGCTCGGTCGCCCAGGTACTGTATATTAAATTTTATACTGTATTATTATTCCTTTGTATTTTTAAGCATTACTTTTCCTTGCCTTGAAAGAGAGATAGCATAAACTTAGATTATTTATTAATATTTATTTACTTATCATTCAGTACAGACCATACAAATTGTCATTTATATATTATTCTAAAACAGTGTTGTTTGGCTTCACGTTTAGTTCTATGACGTCCAGTCTATATTATTTCTTAGTCTGAGTACACTTATTATTATAAAAGTACACCATACCAATGACAACAGATACAGACGAACAGACGGACGGAGCCCCGCCTCAGCCCCCTGCGAAGGCGAAGACTCCCCCGACTCGCCCTCCGGGGACTCCGCCCGGCTGCAGCACTTCTTCGATTACCTCGGCATGGACGTGCGCCAATACGACGCGGTCATACGAGATGGAGATGAAGATAGCCCTGTGTTCTTCTCTTCAGCATCCACTGTGGACTCCAATCAGTTGGCCACTGCAGCTGATTATACGGTAGGTGCCAGCTGATTATTTGGTAGGGATGGTTTAGTGTTTTAGCTATGCACTTATCGATTGTAGATCTCTTTATGGAAATGTTAATTCAGTCATAAAAATCTTTAAAAATTACCTACAACCTACCTAAAAGCTCAAATGTTTTATTCAACCATTTTTAACGTCCCACTGCTGGGCTCGGGCCTCCCAATACGAGAGGGATGAGGCCATAGTCCAAGTGGGGGTTGGTCGACTGAACATATCTATCGAAAAATTGCTAGGTCCTCTCAGACTTTGCAGACTTCCTCAACATGTTTTCTTTTCTTGGAAATAATTTGCACATGGAAATATCAGAGATGCGCAGTCCAGGATTTGAACCCGTTTCAATAAAATAAACTCTAATTCTGGTACTTAAAAATTGATAAAAATAAATCGTACTTTCAATGACAATGATCAAAAAACAAATAGTTGTATGTATATATATTCCTTTATTAACTTATTATAATCTTTACTCGCCAGGTCCAAGGCCCCGGGATACAGAAGCCGATCTACCGCAACACAGAACCCCCCAGCGTGGTAGAACGCAATGCGAGAATTATAAAATGGCTGTGTCAATGTCGTAAAGCTCAATTGCAACCGTCTCAATAGACGACATTACATCATAAAAATAATTAATAAAAAATAGACTGAGATCCCAGTGCTCCCATACCTACGGCATTTTGGGAAAGCTAAAATTTTGAAAATTTCGTCTAATAAGCAGTTAAGACGGTATGTAGATTTGCTAGTTTGAAAGTGGAACCAATTTACAGGTAACAGGTTTAGTAACTGTTATGTAATATGGCCGCTTCACGAAAAGCGTCTGGCAATAATGTATTTATATTGGTTCTTGACAATATTCTGTAAAACATACTTGTAATATGTAAAAACCAGCTTTTCTACTTTTACGTAGTTGAGTAAGATTTTTATGTACTTTTAGTAGCAAATTGGCTCCGCTTTCAAATTAGGTATTATTAGACGAAATCTTCAAAAGTTTAGCTTTTCCCAAAAATGATGTAGGTCTGGGGGCTCTGGGATCTTGGACTAAAATATTTTATGCTGTGGCGGGTTTGAAAAATAACCGATGAGAGACGAGAAAAGTATTTCGATTTGTCAAAGGTACAGATTATAAAGCTCGATTTGTCAAATATCTACAGATAACGTTTATTTGAATTTAATTCGAACATTTAAAACATATTGATTAATTTATGTCATTTTATGAGGCAAAAATCATTAAATCTTTTTATTATTAAATAATAAACTAATATTTGATATTTGGAAAAATTCTAATATTTTGATCTCTATTCGTGTTCTTGAATAATGAATCTGAAGTTAAACGGTGGAAATATTTAAGAACGTATACGAATTAAATTATAAAAAAACCAAATAATAATATATCGTCTGTTGAAATATAGTTTTTTTAAATATCAACTTAAAAAAGACCTTGTTTACTTCTAATCATCGATCAAAAAAGTACTAGATACACAATCAGTGACAAAAAATGTTCTCACCGAATAAGCGCTCATTTGAACATTTGAGCGCGCTTTTATTTATTTTTTGTAAAAACAACTATAAGCGTTGCATTTAAGGTTTAATTTACATTGTTGTATATTTATTTCAACTAGAATAATTACCGAAACATAATTAATTGGTGACAGTTTTAAGAGAACTTTTGTATGGGATTGTGTATCTAGTACTTTTTTGATCGATGCTTGTAATACTTACAATAATCAAATAATTGTATTTGTAATTAAACATTTTTGTTTTTTTTTTTAAATAAAGTAGATTTACGAACTAGTTTTCTAAAGCTTAAGTGATATTCGTTTAAAAATCGAATAATATTATTCGATGAAGGTGATTAAAATTAATTGATATTTGGATTATCGACTGTTAACGTAAGCGACCCAGTTCACTAGTTTAGATAATAACTACTAAATAACTAATTTAGTAGTAATACAGTGCTCCATTCACACGAGAGTGCCAATAATTTAGTTGAATTGTCGTAAAAAAAGTAAAGTTTAATAATAAATTCGATTTCTTTAATTATTTTAACACAGTAACAAACAATACAGCAGAATTGAAAACCTCTTTTTTGAAGTTGGTTGAAAATGTGACATAGTACATCTTTTTATTAATATTTGCTGCTATCTTAGTGTTTTTGTGTGCAAATATAACTTTTCACATCTAGCAGTTATTATCATTTATAATTATTCATGACTAAATTAGCAATTTTTATTTTATTTCAGGGTACGTCCATACTTTACTGTAGTTTTGTTTTGATATGTATATAATAAAACCACAACATTATTTCTGTTTATAATATTATTATTTTTACCACAGTTGGGTAGGTAAATATTTACATAGCTATTACCTACATATATCAAGGATATTAACATGAGATAAAACTAAAAAGATACCAACTTTATTTAAGGTACACGAAAATTTTTAGATTGCTAATGAATTAATAAAATAGAAATACTAGTACGAATTTTGCATTCTAGTCAAAATATTAATTTTTATTAATAATAGCAAATAAAACAAAAAGAAATTTGTTTTATTTTTTTTACGTTTGATAGTAGAATGCGTGGTATGGTAATAAAGCAATATTTGCTAAAACTATATAAATATTATAAATAAATATTGGCACCTCGCGAATGGTTTGATTTGATAAATTTTTACAATCTAAAAGTAACATATGAACTTTCGTTTATTTTATTTCTCATTTTCCTTACTTATGACTCCTTTAGAGATGAAAGCAACATTTTGTGTAACACTTTTATTGCTACAAAGATTTATCAAATCGTAAAATTTTATTGTAAATATATAAAAAAAAATATTTTAATGAATATTTTGAAATTACTCTTGATAAAATAAATTAGTTGAAAATTTTTTAACCTATCTTCATCACTAAACGTACAAGTCGCGAGCTTAGCATTAGAAAAATATTTAAAAAATGGCTCTAAATTTTAAAAAATCGATAGACGTCGCTAGATATTGCCTACAGAAGTTTCGTATTTAATAAATACTCTTTCTTAATGTTTAATTTTTTATCAATTCAAAAGGTGATAAAAAAATATTGATGTTAAAATTGATAAGTAATCAAAATCGAAAACAAATAAATTGTTATATTTTTTTTTATTTACGCCCAGTATCAATTATACATAAATCTAATCTATTTATAAGTTATTTATAAAAAATGTTCCTGTTATGGATTTGTCGTTATTCTAAGCGCTGATTCTCGAGATGTTTTAATTCTGGTTAAGATATATGATACTAGTGATGTAAGATCTTGTGATTTGGAAGCACAAAATGGAGAGTAAGTGTTTTTGTCAAATTAATTTTCGCTTGATTAGTGAAGTATTGTAAACAAGTCGTTTTTGCTCGTATATTACGAAACCCAAATCAAATCTCATTAGATTAAATTATTTTTATACATAGTAACATTCACGAGTAAATGGGAAGACGAGATTTGGACCAAAACTGGTTATATTATGAACTATATAACTATATACATAAAACGGACTATTAAATGGAAATTATTTTTTTCCTATTTTGGCTAGTTGACTTGATGAAGAAGTTTAATCGATCGATTTCATAACTTATTTTTGTAATATCAATAATGAAATCTTTGAACATGGCCATATTATAAACACGAATTTTGGAAGTACCCCTTCAACATAAGTACAATATCCAAAGTTAGTTCGGGCAGAGTATCTATACCCGATTGCTCACCAATAGAAACAACAAAGTACAATTCAAATAACAAAAGTATGTAAGAGATAAATAATGTTAAATTGAGAGAAATATGACAATATCACATAAACGAATATTATTCTAAAACATATTAATAGTGTAACAGTTAAATGCGGTATAATTGTAAATATGTATCTTTGTTCTTCATGTTTAAATACCATAGATTTAGAAGTTTTTGTGACATTATGATTCCTCATAGTATTATTGAAATCTATTATTTTTATTCTTTTTTTTATTGAGAATCTGGCAACATTTATGTTAATCTAGCGTCCAAGCCTTACTTTAATTATGCTCTAATTACATCTTGCACATCCTTAATAATTTTTGGACACTTTATTTAGGTAAAAATCCCTATAATTTACCAAACTACTACTACTTTTGCTTAACATACCAAACACCATATTTTTATGTGGTCTAGTTTATGACTTGAATGTGCACCACAAGTCACAACAAAAACACAAAACAGCGGCTATCCATAGGATATGAAAGTGTTGCCATATTTTCAATTTTTCCCTATTTTAAGCGTTTGATTTTTCTTTTGTTCTCCCATTCGCATTTGTTCTTTATAACTGCTATTTCTTTCCCAATTTATTATTTCTGTGATATAAATCAATATTAACATCTGTACTAATATAAAGAGTGCATTTAAAATGTTCAAGTACCTAATAAGTTTTAAAAATAAAAGTTTTTGCATAATAAGTATGAATGGTTAATCAATTAGAATGAAGTAGTTTTCTCTCGTTTTTCTTATTATTGTGTATTAAAATGGTTAGCGTTATTAGGTTGTTAGCATTGGATGCTTCCATTTGTGTAAATAAGATTTACGTACTTTGTTAGAGGTTTAATGTTAAGAAAGAATTATATTGTGGTCTGATGAGTACTTTGTAGTTTTATTTGAATTCAGTAATCATTCAGCACTCTAATATGGACATATAGAATTTTTATGAACAGCACATTGGGAATTTTTGTACCTACTAATAGATTTAAACGCTTGGAATTAATTACCGAAGTAAAGAATTGGAATTGAATTTGTTCTATATAATGGAGTAATATGATGAGATACAATAGAAAAATAAAACTTCGCAGTTAGCATAATTTATAGACCGAGAGTTAATACCACGTTCGAATTTTAATAAAATTTAATCTGTATCAATAAAGTTATTTAGTACCAGTTAGTGCTATATAAGTCTTTTCAATCCTCCCGTGTTACGGAAAAGGTGTTCAAAGCGATAATTCTTACATTGAAGTTTAACCTTGCATTCATGCATTTACGTACCACCTGTACAATAGGTGATCCGTGATAGTGTGGTGCCTCATCGGCTATAAAAGCCAGTTATACTATCCACAAAAATCACGGATTCTCTTACATATTCAAGCCATGTCGAGGCAGACCTCGAGAACTAGGGAGTTGCTCTCGCTGACCACTCTGCTGCTGTTAGATAAGTACGAGAAGCCAGCCACCACATCTCTGTGCATCTAATAATTTCACGTTCGGCTGGATGCCGGATGCTTTTGAGCTCCTCATCTAGACAGAGCGAACACACAGTCACACATTCGGGGGGATTAAAATAGGACCTAAGAATCGTTTACAAATACGTATTGAAATAACTAAATTAAAAATAACGTTTAAGAACTTAAATCCATACTTATAGCTAAATATCTAACATAGTAATAGTTCTCTATAACACTGGATTCTTCTATAATATGTTTGTCTGTGGTTGGTAACATTGACGTCACTATTAATGTCAAAACGTCAAATGACTCACAACGTTGACACAACATTTTTAGTTCCACAATCACACGAGTTTACACAACAAGTGTTGAAGTGCGTGTTTTTATAAACAAATAGTTTAACACGATAAATTTACTACTGCGAATTAATATTATTACGTAACATTCTTTTGTGTCTTGTTCTGGAAACGAGTGAAGATCGGGAAGTAAATAATTTAATAAAAAGTTACGTCATATTTTTCAAGTGTAGTAAATAAAATTATTTCGTCATTCGGTTTTTACCAAAGTAATAAACATCTGCGACACTTGAAGTAAACGGAATTTATCAATACATGTTCAAGAACAGTGATATCAATTAATTTTGATGATATTAGAAGATTCCTGGGATATGCCTCCTGTTAAACGCGGGAGACGAGGAGTTAGCGACGTTGATGAGGAGGACGACGATTACAGGCGTCGGAGAGATCGTAATAACGAGGTATATTTCTGTTTTAGTCATTTAACAAATAAATTTGAACCTTAAATAATATAATTTTAACTTACAATCCTTGTTGGCTACAGCCATAGTTATAGATTTTTCAAGTTTTACTTATCTGCTTTATTTTTCCTTATCTTATATAACAACAATATAATTCCTATAAAAGGCCAGACTTAAACAATATATCTTTATTGTGATGAAAATATTATGACACCATTTTTTTCCTTAGTTGTGCAATAATAAAATTATTGTTGTATTGTATAAATTGTATTGTATTTTACGTATACTTCTTTTAATTCATCAATTCATAAACTTTAAAACATAGGAATTGATTTCCTCATCTTTACTTACAGGCTGTAAAGAAAAGCAGATACAAGTCCAAGCAGCGAACTCAAGAAACATTTACACGGGTAACAAAACTTAAGGCAGAAAACCAAGAATTAGAAGAAAAAGTTAAATCACTAACAAAAGATCTCAAATTTCTTAAGGATCTCTTCGTGGAATTTGCTTCAAATGCACAAGACCCTAAATTTCAAAGCATGGATTTAGATGCGCTCACTAGAGTGTCACAAGATGACAAAAATGATGAAAGTAGTAGTAGTAAAGGATAAATAACTAGAAATGAACATATTGCATATTGATATAATATATTTTAATACAATGCGATTTAAAAAAATGTAATTTGACATTAAATGAAGTACAAGAAAAGAAAGTTTCAAAAATATGCTACAAAAAACACTAAAAGTTTGAAGTGAAGAAAACTATAAAAATAATATTACGAATTGTAACTATTTGTTGTACAAAATATTTCAAATCTTTAGATAAAAGATTAATGCCTCGTTTTGCATTTACAATATTTTGTAATGTATATTTTTATTTATGGAATTTTCATTTTTTTTTATTTTTACACACTTTATATTGTATTGTAGAATAAATTTTTTTTACAAATCAGTTGACAGGCTTTAAAGTTAAATTTAATTGAATCTGTGTGTAGATAGTTCTATACCTGTGTTATATATTAGTGTAAGGATAGAAATAAAATTATTTTAGGAAGTATATGGTTTCATTAAAACTACTAGGTATAATATTTATGATCTGTGTTAAAATAAAAATTGTTTATACCTATTTAGAAATGAATAAAATTATGATACAATAAAGCTAAATCTATACAGATAAATAAAATTGAAGTGTCTGTAATGTCAACATAACAGCTATTTACTAAATGCATATGAAGTTATATACAGTACTAACAAGAAAACTTAAGTTTTTAAATTTGTCTGTTCCTGCTAATCTCCGAAACAGCTGAACCGATTTTATCAGATAGTTGATGTTATTAGAAGTAACTTAGGCTATTTTTATTTTGTAAGAGAATCTGTTCCGCGCGAAAAAATTACAACCCATGAAATTGTGACTGCAATCATATGCAGAAACGCACCCGAGAGAAACGAGGGTAAGTCGTTAGTAAACAATAAGTATAATGCATATATTCAAAAGAATAATAATTTAATTGTAAAAAAATAACTTTTAAACTTCTTATTAAAAAATTAAATATAAATAATGCATTGGGAAAGGTTTAAAAAATTAAATATAAATAATGCATTGGGAAAGGTATGATTTTGTAATAAAAAAATATAACGAGCTTCAACAAATTTATTTTATTGCACATAAATATATACAGCAGTCCAAACGGACATAAACATTATAACAAATAATATGATCACAATGAGCAACTTCTCATTTTTATACTTATTTTTAACAATCTAATAACTCATGGGATGAATAAAAGAATTGACTCCATACTTTTTTGTTTAAAAATATAAGAACAGTTTATAAATCTTACTATTTCTATATAGGTACATAAAATAAAAAATAAGTATTGAAATTAAAATTTTATCTTCATTCAGATTTCAGATACATGAGAGTCTAACAGAGTATAAAAACCATTAAACATTAGACAGTAAAAGAAATCAAAATTATGATAATAAATAATGAGACACTTTAAAATGGTGCTTACTGAATTTCTTGAATTGAATTACATAAATATAAAATAATACTAAAATGTATCGCTCAATCTAAAAAAAAAATACATAAAAGTGGTTGTAAAAAAAAAGCAAATGCTACTTGCTATTCAATTATATATAAAAAAAATCATTTTAAAATAACAAACAGGAAAATATCTACTAACTGGTGTGTATGAAATAAAAACATTCATTTAAAATAATAATAATGGGGCAATAAAAATATATTATTGTTTACATTTTGACGTAAAAATCAAAATGGCGGGCTATTTCCAGACATTAATGACACCGTCAGCTGAGGCGCTGACTAGATAGCATTTGTTCCCTTCTACCAATGTGATATCTGTTATGGGCGCGGTGTGATAGAAGGACCGCGACTCCACCGTGCGGTAAACGTTGTCTTCTTGCACGGGAGGGGTTATGTTAGATTTGGCGCACTCTTGGATGACCGTTGTACCGTCTATTATTCGACTCCTGAATTGTATTTTATATATATTCGTGAAATGAAATTATTATATTGTGATATTTATTAATTAAGAAAATAATATAATGAGGCTTTATTATTATTATATTGTATTAGTAAATATATAGAGGAAGCAAGAGAAATAAAGATATATTATGGTAAGGTAGTAGTAAAATTATTTTGCCCAATGTGTTTTTGGACAGAGTATATTGTATGAGTTTATTAAATGTATTAGCAGTACTGTAGTTTGACCGAAGTGCGGGGCGGGCTGAGTATGTCTTTCGAAAACTTGCTCGGTTCTCTCAGATATGCTGGTTTCATCACGATGTTTTCCTTCACAGTAAGACAAGTAGTAATCATGTTGGAAATGATTCGCACATGAAAATATCAGAGGTGCGAGACGCGGGATTTGAACCCGCTTCATTCGGTTTCCCAAGCGAGTGCGCAATTCCACAGGTTTCCAGCGGACTAGCACGCAATTCCACAAGCAATTTCAACATACAGATTAAAATAACATCCAATTATTGTGTATCGAGTATACATACATACCTATATTTAATCGAGTGCATCTGATCGTACGGCGCATGGAGGAGGACGTGCGAGTCCTCCGGGTGCTGCAGGTCCCAGAACCTGAGTCTCTGGTCGGAGCCGCCGGTGATGAGGAACTGGTTCCCGTCACGGCTGCCGCAGTACGCTGCACTTATGTAATGTGACGCCTGAAAACAAATTTTATATGAATATCTCTATGTGAGTAGAAAAGTGTGATTCTACAAGTGGACATGTAAATCTGACATAAAAATAGATAAAATTGAATGAAAGTGTTAATTTAATAAAACGATGCACAACTTCAATTATTAGTTTTATCATATAGTTTTAAACTTTCACGTAATATTTTAATGTTTTTAACAATATATATAATTTTGCACTCTATCAATCGCCATTTTATTTCTTTCATACAGAATTACAAACATTATTTTTGGAAGATACAACTACAGATTATAAAACCGAACAACTTATGTTGCCAGCAATACGATACAAAAATCATTAATTCAACAGAAATAGTAACGAAATAAAACCACTGGAGGGATTTTGATGTAATTTGGTATGCTGATGGCTGGTTATCCGGGTCGACATATAGGATACTTTTTACTGTACTATTGTTTGTAATGTATTGTTTATAATATGTATGAGTAGAACTTGTGTCACCGACCACTGGCGTGTAGGTGAGCGGGTGCGCGCCGGCGGTGGCGGGCCACAGCGCGTGCGTGCGCTGCGTGCTCTCCAGGCACCAGGCGGCGGCGTCGCGCGCGCCCAGCGCCCACGCGCGCGACCCGCCCCACCCCACCACGCGCCGCGTGCGCTCCGCTGCCACCACACACACACACACATAATAACATCTTAAATAAAACTAACTTTTCGAATTTTTGAAGTAAAACTTCTTAACCCACGCTTGACTTGGGGGGTAGGCTAGTGAACGCGTTACGAAAAAATGTACGTACGTTTGCTGCCATAGTAACTGTTGTTATTGTCTGACAAATATAGAATATTATATTCTTTCATTAAATGATATTCTATAAATATATGATTGTAATATGCCTAATATGCGTTATTTTTAGTATTTAACCTATCCTAATTATTTAAAACATAAATTTAATTTCATAAAAAGAACCGGTAACCTACAGAAGTTTTACTTCTTACGCGTGTACACATTCATACACGCACTCTTTTTTTTTAATAGATTTATTTTGATTTTTGGTTCCCAATCGAGGCAACCAAAAATAAATCCGCGAAATAATCCGAAAAGGTAGTTTTATTTAAAACTTCAAATATTCGCGTAAATCTAAGTAAGTATTATACAATAACATGTAAAACATTGTTGGGTAAACACAACACAACGTTCAATCATTCACTCATGTGACTAATCATTCAATTATCTTATCCATGGCATCAAAGTGTGCCAGTTGAGCACAGATTACTTTGCCGATATCACCGTAGAATGGAGAAGACACGCAGGAGATTGGTCTGGTGGGTAATCATAGCACAATTTTCAAACATGGAGTAATCATACTAAAAAGTGATATACTTTAATCTGTCACTGACTTCGAAAATATCTGATTAGGTATCTATTCTAAGTGAAAACCTTCGTTTAGTTATTTTTTACATTTTAGTGTAGACGAAACAAGCAGGTAATTTGTAAGAAGAAAGTTTTTTAAATAACATATTCGATGAAACAATGTATTTAATAAATATATTTATTGTTTATTTTTTTAAAAACCGCTCGACCGATTTCGATAAAATTTATATGGGACCACCTGGGAAGTATATATACCCTTTGAAATAAAAAAAAAGTATTTTCCAAATCGGTTAAGGCGTCTTCGAGTAATGGGTGAACATACATAAAAAAAAGATTCCGACGAAAAAATAGAGCAAAAAAATTTTCTTTGAACAAAAAAAAATGAACAAATTACCTCTAAAGGGTCAATTATTGTATCACTTAAATAAAGTATCTAGCATTAGAATACGATATAATATTGTATTTGCTCCGTTCAGCCCTTTTTAACGTCCCACTTGTGGGCACGGGCCACCCCTCAATACGAGGCGATTAGGCCATAGTCCACCACGCTGGCCAAGTGCGGGCGGACTTCACATCTTCTTAGAAAACTTGCTTATTATTATTATTAGATTCTCATCATGTTGGAAATGACTCGCACATGAAAATATCAGAGGTACGACACCCGGGATTTGAACTCGTTTCTCTCGGTTTCCAAAGCGAGCGCGTTACCACTAAGCTATCACTGCCCAGTGTACATAAGTGACTCACAGTTAGGATGCCTGACCGAGGTGATGGGCAGCGCGAAGCGCAGGTCCCACACGCAGAGCGCGCCGCTGGAGGTGCCCACGGCGAGGTAGCCGGCGGCGCTGGCGTGCAGGCACGTGTACACGCCCTGCCGCAGGTCGCCCTGCAGCTTCCACGCGTTGCCTGAACACGTGCGACATTAATACACATTAGCGACTCACCCTCGCTTCTATCGGATTCGTCCCTACGTACATTTTTTTTGCACACACATCTCTTTAATTGTATCTTTTATATACCATTCATCTCCTTAAGGGATAATTTCCGGGATAAGTACCCTATGTCCTTCCCAGGATCTCAAACTATCTTCTTACCAAATTTCATCTAAATCGGTTCAGTAGATCTAGAGATTACCCTTTACAACGTCATCATCTTCATCATTTTATTATTATTCAGGTTTTATAAAATAGTTTAAATATTGTACGGAGACGGGCGTCGATATCAGTAACACAGTTTATATTTTTGCAGTATCATAGTAGCCATTGTTTTTTACTGTATATATAATATAAGAATTGTTACTAAATAAATAAATTTCATTTCACATATGTGTGTGTCTGACCGGGCGCGCGCAGGTCCCAGCCCACGACGGCGGCGCCCAGCGTGGCGTAGGAGATGACGCCGGCGTGCGCGCCGCCCGCCGCCGCCAGCGCCGCGCAGCCCTCGCCCAGCTGCCGGCACTGCGACAGCGACATGCGCGACGACCCGCTGTCCGGCCTGCGGACACGCGGACGAGGATAACCCGAATGACAAATCACAACCATCATCTTCCTGCCCATTTGCTAATTACTTGAGGTCGGCCATAGACTTAAAGAATGAACTGATCAATACTGTCAAGAAATTGACCACTCTTTGAAAGAGAGAAAGAGAACACGCGGTCAATACTTGTCTTTTATTCGACGGCTGGTAAAGAAACGCTCAGTCCACTCTCTATATCTACAGGGTTGGCGTAGTATATCTTCCATGCTGATCATCGATTTTGACAATAGTTTTACGACCGGCCGCCTGCCTGACGTCAACTGACTCATCCAACGTCCGACACCAACCGACAACTACATGACGTCTTTGAGAATGCTGTTGTTTATTCGCATCGCGCAGAGGATAAAAGCCAAACTAAGCCAAATGACAACCATGGATGTTCAATTCATTTTTTTGTTATTAAATAATTATATTGTCCTCTTTACCACTAGTTGCTGTCCGAACTGACGAGAGTGTCCACCGTAATAACATCCACAAATTCATCCATCCATCTATCCATGACCGATTTTGGCCTAGTAAAGTGACGGCGGCTAGTAAAGTGCAGCACGTATGTACGCAAACACAAGTACACTCTCTATTTTTGTCACTCTCATTTTCCGACGGGATGACAATTCTATTCCCATGATTCGAACCCAGGACCTCCGCATTTGCAGCCATTACATGTTGGCCACGACACCATCAAGGCAGTTAAAATAAAATAAAATATATACCTAAGAACAAATATGGATCCTTCCTGTGTGGCCGCGACCAGAGAGTGTCCGCCCTCGCACGCCGCCAGCGATATGACGGGACCCGCACTTCTATTGTACATAGATTTCGATCTGCAAGCAAAGTTTATATAATATACTAATTAATTCTTGGTTAAGTACGAGTCGGATTTAAACGAAGGGTTCTTTAGGATTTTGTAAGTAATAATTTGAACTAAGGTAAACCGAACGAATACGTTGTAGGAAAACGTTGTACTAAACTTTAAAATTTTAATTTTGTTGCAAAACTCAACTTAAGTAAAAGTCAACTGAAAATAGTATTCATTATATAAACGCAAACCAATACACAGACTTACGAACAGACAGACAGTATAACATTTTTTTTTAATTTATATTTTTAAAATCTGTACTATGAATACTAGGGACCACAAACTTCAAGGGATGTCTTTTATATGTAGGGTTTTCGGATTTTTCCCTTTACTTATGTTAAGAGATAGTGCTTCTTGCCAAATTTCATGATTTTAGGTCAACGAGTAGTACCCTATAGGTTTGATTTATTCAAAATCCCAAGTGATTGTAGATCAGAATACTTTAAATCAATTTCAACTTGATACCTCCACGCGTTCACAAATAAGAAAAAAGATCTTAAAAGACAACAAAGTGATCCTATAGAGGTTTTTTGAGGTACGGAACCCTAAAAATAACTTACTTATTTACGTATGCGTGTCCCTGAAGCCGGGCGGCGTCCCACAGACGCACCGTGCCGTCGTCGGAGCACGACCCGAACAGGTTCTTGTGTGCCGGCAACCGCACCAGCTGGTTCACACGAGCCCTGCGTACAAGTACAGACAAAGTAGTCCAGATATCGAAAGAAATGAATCAAATAAATAAAACTTTTCGGTATTTTTCCAGGATTTATTTTGATTTTTGGTTCCCCACGTTTCGTACGCTTTACAGCAATCATCGTCAAGGGAGAGGCTAAAGTTTTAGATGTATCAAAAGTAGTTAAAAAGTAGATAGTTTCATTTTAAAGTAAGAAAGCATTATGAAATGAATCAACTTCAATTCGATACAATTTTCTTGTTACTAGCTTGAAAACGTGTCAGTTGAGCACACATTACATCGCCAATGTCACGTAGAATGGAGAAGACACAAAAGTAAAAAGGGTGAAAATTAACTTTATTCAATTAGACTTATACAAGCATTTCTGGATCGTAATTTTAATTTCAAATGTGGAGTTTTATTATATCTGTGTATACACTTGAGTATACACAAAATGGCACTGTAATATGTAATGCTTCGGTCTAGGCCTCGGATATTTTCATTACTTTTGTCTTACGGCGAAGAAAAACAGAGAAGAGAACGAAGGAGCGAACCTAGCAAGTTTTAGAATGGTATATGAAGTCCGCCAACTCGTACTTGGCTTTGCGGTGGACTATGGGCTGATCCCTCTTGTACTGGAGGGAGGCGTGTGCCCAGCAGTGGAACATTAAACACTTTACTGGAAGTGTAAGTAAGCATTGGTGAAATGGAATTTAGACGACACGTTTGGCTCAGTTTGTAGTGGCTCTACTTGCTGTGCCAGCGGTAGCGGGTTCGGGTCCCGCTGAGGACATTCTTTGTGTGATGAGCACGAATATTTGTATTCCAGTCATGGGTGTTTATTTATAATATATAATTAAAGTTATATATGTGTAGTGTACCAACTATCTGTTATCCATAACACAAGCGTTGTAGCTTACCATAGAACTAGATGGTACTGTGCGTTAATGTCCCTACATATTTATTTATTTATTTGATTGATGTGTCTAACTGTTACAGCAAGGGTTTAATACAAAAAGTTTTATTATTTTGTATAATAACTTACTTGTGTTCATGTAAGTACGCTAGTAACTGGTTCCCGGGCCTCCACGTGGGTGGCGGTAACAGATCTTCACCGGTTTCCACATTATCGTCGTGAATTCTACAAAAAAATATAAACATGATAAAATAATATAAAGATATGATTTTTTGTGTACAAAATTCATATTTTATGGAAGAAATAATTACAATTTTATGTAAATATTGAAAACGGAATGATTTGTTTCTTAATTGTTTAAACACACTAATTCGGGCGAACCCGCGGGATAACGCTAGTAATACACGAACAAACTATACTATTTTTCTATTCCTACCTTAAAGACTTCTGGAACTTTTGCTGCATACGCGAAATAAGGTTTCGCAACTCCACTCGACACGGTGCCATGCTATCTGCAACAAATACACACAATTAAACAACGAATAAACGAGGAGTAATGAATTATTATTATTGCTGTCTATGTGTAATGATATACTGTGTTATATATGTATATATAATTACGAAGGAAAATAGGGTCGACCTACATAGAAGTCAAACGCATAACTCTCCTTTGGGCTTCACCGCAGTCGGGTAAATCTATACTCTATAGTCTATACAGATAAATGAAATAGAAGTGTCTATTTGTAACGTCAAAATAACTGCGTTTTACTAAATGCATATGAAATTATATACGGTACTTAGAAGAAAACCACAATTTTTAAAATTTTTGTGGGTCTGTTTGTTCCGGATAATCTCTGAAACTGCTGGACTGATTTTGACGGGACCTCCACTGGAAGATAGCTGATATTGTAGGGAGTAACATAGGCTATACTTTTATTTTAGAAAAAGAATTAGGGTTCCGCTCAAAAAAATTAAAACGTACCTAGGGACGGATCCGAACGAAGCGAGGGTGAGTCGCAAGTATGAAATAAAATAAAATACTCACACTGCACGTAGCTCGCGCTGTGCCCCATCTGCGAGTGCGCGGGCGCGCCGCCCCCCGCGCCCGCGCCGCCGCCCGCGCCCGGCGCTGGCAGGCCCGACTGCGACGCGCTGTCGCTGGCTGTTGCGGACGGGATGTTTTTGTAAAACAACATATAAAGGATATTTTATGTAGGCACACAAATATATACACACATTTTTAATAAAAATGCTTTTATATTTTAGATTAAGGCCTCTTTTAATAGCCTCTTATATTAATTACGTTTTTGACAGATGTGAATAAAAAGTAAAAAGTGACATTAAAAAGACGAACAATATGCACGATATTTTGTATATCTATTTTAAATCAAATAGATTTAAATAATCCTTTATTGTTGCAACGGCCATATTTTACAAAAGCATACACATACACACACACGGACATTATAGGGCTTCGAGCATTTTTCTATGCAAATTGGCATTAGCCACCCGCCATTTTAATTTTTATTTAAAGTAAAGGCGCACAAAGAAACATGTACGTGTCAATAGAGTGCACTTATTATAAACAGACAAAAAATATTCGCAATATAGACTCCTAAAGTGTCACGTTTCCGAAATATTTTGAAGTTAAAATTGCTTAAATGAGAACTTTGGAAATTATTATTTTAATTAATTCAATTAACGGCGAATTAAAATGTAATTTTTTTAGTGATTGTCATAGTTTTCATGGGGCAATTGTTTTACCTTCAAATATCTCCGCAATGTGACACTTTTGAACATCACATAAATGCGTATATTTAGTGTTTGTTTAAATGTATTCTATATGCATTTCACATAAACTAGTTTCATTGTGCGACAAAATTTGGAAAAAAAATTAAATTGAAATTGAAAATTTCTAGTTCTATATTTACACAACTTTGTTCCTATTTCAAGAAAAAATACCTGTCATTATTATATACCGTCACTTAATTTTATTGTGTTGTGTATTAATTTTAAATTCTGTTAATATGCCATAGTAAAATTCACTTCAAGGATTCTAAACAGTATTAATTTATTAAAAAAAACGACAAAATATATGGAGTTTTTCATTTGTTTACGAAAAATTAGATGAAGTCACTAAAAAGAAGAAAAATGTGTCACATAAAAAAAATTTTTTTTAAACCTCACCTTTTACGACGGCTTGGTCCTGTGTTTGTCCGAACATGTGTTGCCATTCCGTGTTCATTTGAGTTTCATTTGAAAGCGAAGTTTTATGCGAGCGCCTAAAGATAAAATTATAATTTTTAAGTTTTTATACACATATTCAACCACAGTATAAAAACCATACAAAAATTACCAATTTTCATGGCGAAGGTGTTCGAAATTATAACATTAATAAATATATTGGGAAATTAACACACAACACCATCTAGTTCCATGGTAAGCTACGAGGCTTGTGTTATGGATACCAGATAGTTGATACACTACACATATATAATATATAATTTTAAATATATACAATTACATATTATGTATATAAACACTCACGATCGGAGTACAAACATTCGTGCTCATCACACAAATGAATGCCCCCAGCGGGAGCCGAACCCACGACCGCTGGCACAGCAAGTAGTTAGAAGGGTCACTACAAACTGAGCCAAACGTGTCGTCAAACATTGTAGTGCCATATAGGATAAGTCCAGTAGTACCCCCTCACCTAGCACTCTGTGCGTACACCTTGTCGGGCGGCGCGTGCGCCAGCGCCTCGCAGTCCAGCGCCACGGCGCGGGACAGGCCGCCGCCCGACAGCACCAACCGCCCTGGCGCGTCAGTTATGTGCTGGAATGGAAATTTTACCATTACAAATAGAACTATCTTTTCGGATTTTTTCAACGGGAGAGTCTCCCGTGACCATAATTGAGACTCTCCCGTGACCATGATTGTGAGACTGTCTCATGACCATAATTGTGAAACTCTCCCTTAACCATGATTGAGAGACTTTCCCTTGACCATGATAGCTGTAAAACATTCGAAACGTAGGGTACCAAAAATGAAAATAAAGATAGTTTTATTTAAAATGTCAAATGTTTACGTTATTCTAAGAAAGTATTATATTACCATTAATTAAGGAATAGTTGCATTTAAACTAAAAAAATGTTACTTCAGTTTCTAAGGTACTTGAATTCGAGTCCCGAGACGAGTCAAGTCCAATTTTTAAGATTTTAAAAGTCAAGAAATTGTTAATGGTTATGCTATTATAACTAGTAGTGTAAATCTTTGCAATAAACAAACCCAAACTAACCTGAGTTGCAGAACTCTGAATCTTGATTAGGTGAGCGCTCATCGCCAATAGCTGATTTTCAACATGCTCTGTCATACCTGAGATATAAAAAAGTAATTATATAGTGAATGGTAGAAAATGTATGGATCGTGTGTATATTTGCCTGTCATATTTAGTATAAATGGTAATTAATTACATACAGGTAACCTTAACTGTAATGTGTGTAATATAAAATTTTAAGAAATATGGTGAATATAAGGCATATAGACGAATATAAAACCGAAATCGGTTTTTTTTAAATACAACCAAAATTCTCTTTTAAGATGAGTTAGATGTGGACTGGACAGGTCTTTTTTTATTTTAGCAAAAAAAGTGTTTGTAACATTAATTATCCCGATGACATCTAATAAGAATTCAGATCACCATTATTGTTTTTTAAGCAAAAATATAAATTATAATATAAACTGGTTATATATTAAAAGCACATTACCATCAGACGCCAATCTTCGAAATAGATTCTTGAGCTGTTGACCCATTTCCGAATATTGCGGCATCATACCTTGTTTTACCTAAAAAATAAACTTTTGAAACAAATCAAATATATTTAATACAGAAATCGTTCAAAAATTATTTAAGGCAAAGTTTGTATGTATGTATGTTTGTTACTCCATTACGATGAAACCGGAAACAGCTGTACGGATTTGGATGAAATTAAATACTCAGATAGACAATGATTCGGAGTAATACATAATCTGTTTGGCACTTTGCTTGTAGCATCATATACAGTTACTTCTTCTCTTGGACTAAATATCCAAAATTAAAAAAAAGTGCGTGTGTTGCAATTCACACACTATTTTTTATAATATTATTACCAAGTTTAAAAGTTATTTTACATTTTATTTGACATATATACATTACATATTATACAGTAATTAATTTTATTATTTTTCACTTCCCGTGTAATGTATTCTATCTCAAATAATTAAATAAGGCATATTAGGTATATTACAATCATATATATTATAGAATATCATATACGGAAAGAATATAATATATATATATATATATATATATATATATATATATATATATATTTGTCAGATAATAACAACGGTTTAAACATGGCAACATGAAAATGTATTCTATCTCATTTTCTCGCCGGCTTAATCCTATATATTTAAGTGTTTGTCTCTTTCTAGTGTCGCATTTTCGATTCATCAAGTTTCAAATCACAATGATTCTGAAACTTCTGTAGAAATTCAATAAATCATAATTGATAGATTTTATTTAATCAAAGTTTACTCACTTTTAGCCGAGCCGTCCTTCTTTCCCGCAGCGTGTGCACGAGGCGGTCCACGTCCCCGTGCCGCAGCACTGCGTCCAACACCTTCCTTGGTATCGGCTCCGATAAACTTTCTAATAACAGTTCTGCTCTTTCCACCTTTCAAAATGTTTATTTATCACAACTTAAAACTTTAAACTTTATCTCTTTATAATATTAGTATATTAAAAAGAGATAAAGTTTTAAGTTTGTGAGTTTGTTCGTAGAAGTAATCTCTGGAACTACTAGACCGATTTAGATAATATTTGCTAAATAAATAGATATGTTGGAGCATCAACACACAGCACCATCTAATTTCATGGTAAGCTTGAGTTATGAATACCAGATAGTTAATACACTACATATATATAAATTTAAATACATACATATTATAAATACAAACCATACCCATGACTGGAGTACCAACATACGTGCTCATTACACAAATGAATACACCCAGCGGGACTCGAACCCTGCTGGCACAGCAACTGCGTCACTACAAACTGAGCCAAACGTGTCGTCGACGTAAGAAGATAGTTTGAGACCCTGGTTTTAATCACCTTTTCATCCCGATAATCATCCCTTAAGAGGGAGAACATTGGGATGAAAGTTTATTTGGAGAACCTACCTAGGGACGAACCCGAGCGAAGCGAGGGGTCGTTGGTTATTTATACATTATATTGATATAATCGGGCTACTACTAATTACAATGTAGGTAAACTGATTTAAATTACTTTATCGTTATCTAGATTTGTCATATTCGCAAAGTTTCAAATTGTAACCATACGACCGACGTTACATCTGTAACAAGCCTTATATTTAACCGTACTGGTATATATTAAAAGAAAAGTTAAAAAAATACACTGTATGTTTGTTATTCCTTCACTCTGTGACAGGAATAGTGTGCATTATTGTTGCACGCACACACACACACACTTTACATCATCATTTATCTACATCTGCTCAGTTGGCTTAACCTTAAACGGCCACTACAACATTATTGTTACTTATATAATATACTTGTATTTAATAAAGGTTACGTTCATTCGTGTGAGCCACAGCTAATAGGACACTGCTGCTTAAGCAAGCACACGTGCAACGTAAGGTTGAGTGACACACTTGCCTGCAGAAAATGTATGTAGGCAGAAGAAACGTCACTCCATCTTTTGGGGCAGCGTGGACTTCTTATGTACAAACCCAGTATTCATATAGGGACACACTTTTTAATCTCAGATGAAATCATAGAGGGTACCCCTAAGCAAAGCTGCAGTATTTTAAATAAAACTATCTTTTCGGATTATTTCGCGGATTTATTTTGATTTTTGGTTCCCGACATTTCGAATGCTTTATAGCAATCATGGCCACGGGAGAGACTCTCTATAAAAAAATCTATTCTTTAAAAATCAAAATAAATCCGCGAAATTATCCGAAAAGATAGTTTTATTTAAAATGTCAAATATTGGCGTAAATCTAAAAAAGTATTAAAGCTGCAGTATATTATAGCTGCAAGGTTTGGTCTACTCAAGTTCAGCATACGACGATCACAATAGACCAGAATGGTAGAAGGAATATCCTATAACCATAACAAAGAAATTACAAAAAAAAAATACCTGTATCAGTTTATGTTTAAGATGCGGCCACACTAGAGGCAGTATCTTGCAATTGACATCGATGGGATTCAACAGGCTCGCGACACACGAGACCAGCCCGCACACTTCGTGACGTATCTAATCAATAGCCAGGTTATTAATTAAATATGTATATACCAGGTACCTATTTACTACCCCTTTCGATGTCTAATTTGACACCTGATTTCCCATACATACAAATTTTATTAACTCTCCTCACCCGTTTATGAGTGGAATTTAAAAAAGAATTCGTTAGTGTTTATAGGAAATGGCTGTAAAATCTCAGCCTAGAGGCTTTTAGAACCCAGTTTATAAGTTTCATTTGACGAATGTTTTGAATTTAATGATTAACTTTACAATATTGCATTACATTGAATTTTTAATATGAAACCAACAACTGTTCTGAGAAAACAAATTATTAAATTTTATCAATTTTATTCCGATGCACATTTTAAAAATCCTATCAGCAGTACAGACGATGTACTGCGCCGACCCCAAGTGATTGGGAAATGGGCAGGGAGAAGAAGAAGACACATTTTAAAACTTATTCTTATTTTGACTTGGAATAAATTCTTTAAAAAATTACATATAATAAAAGACCTATAAACAAAAAAAGACCTTTAAACATTTAAAATTTATCTACTCACCCACAAATTAGGATGTGCGAGGTACACAGCGCTCTCCGCAACTAAATCGCATAGCGCTTGTTTGAACAATAGCCCCAACTCTGCGAGGCTCGTTGTTGCGCGAAGTGCTTTGGCTATAATCCACTCGGACTGGTCTGTTAGACCCTGGGGACAAGGGTGTAGTAAAAGAGATAGACAACTGCCTTATTGATCTTTCAGCTTGTACGGTATAACCCTTCTTGGATTTCTAGGACTAGAACCTCTTAATACTCTTCACGGCAAACGAAATGATTTGAGCCGTCTGTTAGACCCTAGTGAGAGAGATGCTTTACCATGTATCAGTACTTAGTCCACTGCTTCCTTTCATATTTATGTCTAATCGATTCGTATCTTCTATGCACATGGCAAGCCCTAATGAAATTTGCCACTGCAATCAAAATCAGCTAAAAGATCTATTAGACCCTGGGTATAAGGACGTAGTAATATGAGTTGGTTAATTGAAAAAAAAAAAAACAAAAAAAAAACGATTTATTTTTGGTATGATGGCCAGCGTGTACGTTTTATGTTTTAATATTAGCCATCTGGCCAGACGGCGAGTCCTGGTCAGTTGACTTAGTTACTTAAGAAGTTTCTTAGACTCTAGAAACAAGGATATCATAATGATATGATATTTATATAACATTTGCATGAACAAATGTTCGTTTATGTAAATTCACCAATAGAGGGTACAGCGCATCAAATTGAGCAAAGTTCAACCGATCACCATGAAAATTTTGTACAGATATTTTCGTGTGTCCCATTTACGCAGGCATGACATAATGTCTAAATGTCATATTTATCGTTATTTATGGATAATCTATACAGATAAATATAATTGAAGTGTCCGTTTGTAATGTGAAAATAACAGATTTTTATTAAATATACGGTACTTATAAGAAAAACACCATTTAAAAAAAAATGTCTGTCTATATGTCCAATTAGGGTTCGGGACAAAAAATTCAAACCCACGAAATGGTGAACAAAATTCATGTACATAGGGATATACTCGAACGAAGGTAGTGTAAGTCGCTAGTTAAATACGTACGTAACGTAATATACGAACATAATCAAAGTGTAATCCCCACCTGTTGCAACAGCGGCAGCAGTATGGCGGCGGCGTGTTGGCCCACGTACGCGGCCACGCCCACCACGCGCTCGAAGAAGCACCCGCGCAGCGCCACCTCCTCCTTGTCGTTCAGGAATGTCACCATGTGGGAGAGGATCACGTCGTTAGCTGGGAATTTTGGGAACATTCTATATTTATTAGTTTTCCTAAAAAAAGTACCTTTGTAAAGTTTTAACTGTTAGTTACATTATTATTAAATTATTTGATTTTAGTTTATGCTCGCGTCTCCTCTCATAAAATAAATCCATCCATAAAAAATAATCTGTTCATTCTAAGAAAAAGCTTATTCCACTTTCTATTGAACGTATCCGTATGGAACTTTGACCAATCGACGCAGTAGTGTCTGTAGATGGTTTTAGGTTATTTGTATTCCATACTCTCACAAACATTTTTTTTATTTACTTTCATGAAAAAAAATCTCGCCAATAAAACAAAAAAACATTACATTTTTTATTCATTTGTTTTTAATATAACCTAAGAATTTAATTTGTTAGCAAAAAACCTAAATATACATTAAGGTGTCTGAAGCCCAAAGGAAACATATTATAATTTAGTCATTTCCATATTTACCTTTTTGCTTCCCAAAGAACACGCATAGCTTGGTGATACCATTTTCAACCAGCGCCCTCTTGACGACCGCCTGTGAGTCAGTGAGGAGATGCGAGACGGTCGACCGTACCTGGGAAAATAACAATATATCCTATCATATTCGCTTAAAATCTTTTACATGTCTTTATATTTTAATTTATCTTTAATATTTTAATTATATTTATTAATTTATCTTAGCGTTAAATTTAGATTGTTTACAACATTTTCAAATTCAAGAAGTTTACCCAACGTTTGTATAAAAAACAATCACCGTGCAAAACTTTTTTTTCGTGGTCCAAAACAAATCTTAGTGCACAAAAACCATATAAATTAAATGTACTAATAAATATATGTACTTATAAAAATAAAAATACTATCACAATTACCATTTCATGTAACGCCGACAGTTCCGTTTCATAATTGATGTTTGTTGTTTCCTTGTCCGCCATATTTTGTGTTTGATCCAAAAAGCGAACTGCTGTTTCCGCTAATTTAGCTAAAAACAAAGAAAAAATCTTTTGAGTTTGCCAATTTGTGTGTAACAATCATGTTTTGGAATGTTGATTATTGCAGTGTCTAACGGAAAGATAGAAGCATCCAATAATATTTCCTGCAGTAGTCGCTACTAGCAGACAATAAAGTTGAAAACAGTATGCCTTAATTTTTCTTAGTTTTACGCGAATATTGGACATTTTAAATAAAACTATCTTTTCAGATTCGCAGATTCATTATAATTTTTGATTCTTCCTCACGCCCGGGAAACTATAACTGTTTCCGCGAATAGTAAACCTACATAATTTTTATTCCTACCCGCTTCCTTTTTATATTCACGTTTGCAATTTGAAGTGTCACCATACGCAGATAGTTCGCAATTCACCGTTTGAGTCTCGAGACGTAAACCCGCGCGCGCCTGCTATAATTTGCATGGAACGTTTGAGTGCTTGTGACTTGTGTCCTCATGAGTACCATCACCCCCATCGCCATCTAACCGCTGCCGTTACCATCATTGGCGCTGAAGCTGGGAGCTGATGCAGAACTCTAGCAAGGTAGGCGTGCTTTTTATTCCCGCTGTCCGCTTACTACATCCCGCAGTCTGTTGCCTAAGGGAACGTCCCGCAGTCCGTTATAAAAAGGCATTTCTGGTCATTTTCTCTCTTATATACAGTCAACTTAAATTTTACTCTTACTTAGAACCAGCTCTTAATTGCATTTTATACCCAACAATAATTGCAAAAACATTAAACACAAAACAAAACTGGGAAAAAATCCGAAAAGACAGCAAAAAGTGGTTAATTTAACACGTACCTATATTATTAGCATACGCTATCCTCACAGGCAGGGCGGGGTCGGTGGCTCTGGGCGCGAGCTCGGGCAGGATGTACTCGGGGAACACGTTGCTGTCGGGCGCGGGCAGCCCCCGCACGCACGACACGCACTTGGTCACGCACCAGATGGCCGCCGCGCGCACGCGGGCCTCGGGCGCGTGCGAGAGGTAGATCTGTGCAAGAGTTTAGTATTGTTATTGTTATAGATATCTTGCAAGTTTTAAGTTTGCATTAAAGAATGTACTTGGGCAGCTTTTATATTTTATTTTTTGGAGTGTTTATCTGTAGTTAGGCAGTAGTGCTTGGAAAACCAAGTGAAACGGTTCAAATCCTGGGTCTCGCACCTGTAATGTTTTTAGGTGCGAATCATTTTCAACATGATTACCACTTGCCCTAGGAAGAAAGGAAGGAAAACATTGTGAGAAAGCCTATTCTAATTTCACTCAGACACAAAAAAAAATTAAAAAAATTAAAAAAAAAATTAGCACTCGGCCAGTATGGTGGACTATGGCTTGATCTGAAGGGAGGCCCGTGCCCAGCAGTGGGATATAGTTATGTTACGAGGACAGCCGTGGTGACATGCCCTTTTTTTCTATAAGAATGTCTAAAAAACTTTTCATACTTTCCTATTTATTATATGTACTCTGACTATATCTCTATATAAAATATATATATCTGAGTATAAAATTAATATAATATTAAAAACGAACACTTACAATATAAGGCAATATTCTGTCCAAAATCACTTCCGAACTAGAATTTTCACACAAAAGCTGCAAAATCTCTAAGCAATGTAATTTGGACGTGCAGTGATGCAATCCTCGAATACATGACGTCACTAACGACGTAATCAGTATTAACCCTTCACCATCCGGTCCCATCTCTTTGGTATCCGGTGTCTTATTGTCATTTTCCTCTTCAAAATCCGTTACATTCACTGTCATAACCCTAAACCCTTCTTTAATTAACGCGTCGATTTCAACCTTTTGGGTTTCAGTGGTCTCATCGACCAGGTCCTGGTAGTTCTTGGAGTTTGAAGGTTGTGTGAAGATTTTGATGATGTTTTTAATGTCTTGATAGATACGGGTTATTTTCTCGTCCGCCGGGAGGATTGGTTGCGCGGAAAATATTAACATATAGGATTGTAGAAAGGAATAGAAGTATTCCGGAAATAAACTGCAACAGATTTTTGTAGAAATTTTAATGTCGGTAAAACTCCATGATTAAAAATCAAAGTATAATATTTCGATCACACCGAGATGACTAACGGCGGATACTATCCAACTGTGGTTTTTCAAACTATAAAGATAGAAATTTCACATAATCTCCATACAAAATGTCAATTTTCCATTCGTTCGTGGCACCGTCGAGAACGTATAAAGTAACAAATACTCTTTCATATTTATAATATTAGCATGGGGCAGCAAATACACAGAATAATAATTAGTTTAAATAAATTTCAAAAGATGGCGTTATATTATGCTTTGCTATTAATGTTTATGTAAAATTATAAGATTTAAAAATACTGTTCTGTTATAATATTTTGTAATCTGTGATAATAGTACGTTATTTAAAAAATATATAAATACTTACTTGCCCCTAGCCTCATCTAAATACAGTTCGGCACTTCTTCTATCCTTTGGGTTCCTTTCTGTCATCGAGTGCAAGAGATTCCTCAACTCTGGTTCACTGGAATCTGGCAAAGTCATTGTTGGGGGTCTATCCTCTCCATTCCTGAATGCTAATAACCCTGGCAAGTCTAACGCGGGTGTACCGTCGTTCCATAGTTCTAAAAGCGCACAACTGAAATGGGAGGGTTAGTGAATTATTCAATTTTTTTTTTCACTTGAAATAAAACCTCTGTTTGTTTTTGAGCCACTGTGAGTTTTTGCTATTTACAACTACTTTACAGGAATGATTCAATTCAATATACTGGCATATAAAGAAACAGTGCATATGTCACAGGGAAATTGTAAAAACCGTGAAATTATAATTTCACTTGTGAAATTTCTTACAATATCACGGGACGTTAAAAAACATTAAAAAAAGGTTGCTCCTGATTCCTCCAACGTGCGTTCACCTTGTCGTGGTGGGGGGCTCATTAGCGTTCAATCAAGCCGCGCGCCATGCCAAGGAACGCACTGGGAGGCGGCCCATGCGGGTTGCTCCTGGTACTTCTCTGATAGCAGAGTGGACCGTGTGAGCAGCCCCACGGCTGTTGTAGATTGCTTCGACAGCCCTGCCGTCGGGCGTCGTGGTTGAGTGCGCAAGCGATAAAGGTTCCGTTGAGTTTTAGAGGATATACCGTTTTTTTCTAGTTGCTGAGTTCCACATAACCACCTGTATGTATACAGATGTTATGCATTCCCCATCATTAAAAAAAAAGGTTGCTCCTGGTACTTTTTTAATAGCAGATTGGACAGTGACAGCAATCCCTCCTATGATTTCATGTGAAGCTGTTTATTTAACTTACCCTGTTGAAAAAATATCCATACTTGGGACAAGCTCTCCAATTTTACATGGTGATTCACTCAGTAGCAATCCACTATTGTCGTCGTCTGCCTAAAAAATAAAATAAATTATTTTAAATACATTTTTACAAGAATGTAATAAAACTTACAAGTAAAACTATTATAAATTAATAAATGTTTATAAAATAAAATTCTATATTACTGTAGGCTTTGCATTTGGATCAGGAGCTCCCACAAATCTCTCTGGAGCAACATAGCAAAGTCTTCTTCTAGATGTATCAAAGAAATAGCTGAAGTCTGCTGGATTGTCATCTGGTAAGAATGTTGGCTTAAAAGATGCTATGTCAGTTAAAAGAACCCATAACCAAGATGTCACCATAATGTTTTCTAACTGCAAAAGACAAATATATAATATTCAATTCCATATTTTTAAGTTTTACATGCAGACATTTCTAAGAAACTAAAGGCTTAATACCCCTTGGGAACTACTGAATTTTCAGATAATATTTTATAGTAAAAGTAAAAATCTTTCAATTTTTTATTATCTATAAAGTATCTAATCTTCAAAAATATTTTATCAAGAATGTAATTAACTTAAAAAATAGAGTTGTTGTATGTAAAAAAATAAAATACCTTTATATCTCCATGACATATGCCTAGTTTGTGCATTCTATGCAATGCATACAGTACTTGAAAGGTTATCCACTTCTTCTCCAGCACAGTGAGAAAGGGTCTCGTAGACATTCTATCATAGACACTACATTTACAATACTCTCTCATGAGAAGACCTGCTTTATCTGTTAGCTGAAGTGAGAATATATCATGTTTCAATTATTCCTCCAGTATACATATTATATTAAAATATAAGTTACAAAATTATTATAAAGTATTAACAAGAATTTAGATAAATTATTGTTAATATTTTATAATAATTTTAAATAATACATATTAAAAATAAATTAATACATTTTATAATATTACTATTATAAATGTAAACTGTTTCAATTTTGGTTTACAATAAATCAAAGTGTAAAATATGCCAAAGTATATCATAGTAAATCTTAACAATATATTGACTGTTATTGGTTTTACTACTTCATTTATTCTATTCATTTATGACAATATCAGAACTTACTATAACTCTCTGAAATGGCAAGCAATTAAATGCTGATGCTAATTGCTCCTTGATCTTTAATATTCTCTCTTTATGTTCAGCAAGAGGCAGTGATGGATCATGGACGGCAAATACTTTAACAACAACAAGACCTTCTCTAGTGCGAGCCCGTGCTACTTTAAAGAATCTTGTTGATCCTAGGCTACAATTGAAATGGACATAAAGCATTAAATTGAAATACAATCATGAAAAAGATTTAAATTTTTAAAAATATGTAATGCCAGGTGTCTTTTATTCAAAAGGACATTATAATCACAGGAATTATTGCTATTCTTACCTCTGATCAAACGTTAAATCGACATGATCACTCAAGTAGTGTTCCACAGGAAATATCTGCGAAGGTGCTACCCCCACAAGTTGATTTCCCATCTTGTCTTAAAAACACAAACATACACAATAAAATTTAGTTTAATTTTTCCTATTTTTGTACTTAATGATGAACACAGCACTCATCACATTATTTTAAGAAAATTTTACTAAAGTAATAACAATTTAATAATCTTGTTAACAAAAAAATTACTGCAACCATTTACAAAACAATAAAATTGCAGCTTGTTTTGACAGTTATTATATCTATGAAATATCAGACATCAGTCAACACTGACAGTCAGGGTTGGATCCAGAGCCTCAAAAAAATATTGTACATAGAGAATAAAATTATACTACTTGTCCAAAATTATACTACGTTTGACGTTTCATGTTTTTCGCGTTTCGTTTTACGGCGTTTTTGTATTGAATTGAAATAAACTTGCATAAGTATTAAAATTGAAAGAAAAAAAAACAATGGAAAAGAATTTGTTAAACAAATCTACTTTCAATATACAATTTTGATGATGAATATAATTTTTTCTCGTGTTTTTCCCCTCAGAATGATTCGATAAAACATGCTTTGCGGCCATCATTGAAACATTACATACTTTACATCGTGATTTGAAATTATCTTGAGGATCACGAGTAAGCCACTTACTAAATTTTGGATCACTCTCCCATTCGACTCCGTATTTTTGTTGTCTATGTTTTTTCTTCACTTTTAAATCGCCTCTTTCAACGCGTTTCTTCTTTGGCGTCGAAACACCACACTCTTGTTCGCCCTCACTTTCACTCATGATTACAAATTGCGACTACAAAATAGTTTATTCTCAAAATTGTCAAAGCGTAAGAAACAATAATGTACACACGTCACACACTACAATTTGTACTAGTTTAAAACTTTATACTAATGTATCTATACTGCAACAAATCACTGTCAAGTTTTATACTTAAGTCAAAATATTGCTATGAACATGATATCGTCTCTCTCACGGTTATTTATAAATCCTTCTTGTCAGAACGGATGAAATAGTAAAACATCACATGGGGAATCCCCGCCAACCTTGTCATTGCCTGATTTGGTGTTGCCGTACGTTCAGAAATTCCTAAGATTGTAGAGTTAATATTAAAAAGTAAAAGTACTCACCAATAATACAAGTCGGTCGACCTAAAGATTAAATTATGGTATTTTTACGTAGTATAGTGGCAATACGATACTACATACTACACACTATGAAATAATGGTACAAATAGTATAATTATACTACGAAATCCAACACTGCTGACAGTTATCAGGTGGCGTTGACACCTTGCAGTTGACAAAGAAGGTTTTCTAGACAAAGGTTACTTTGTAGTTATAGCTACCTACCTATTTATTATAAAATTTTCTTAGTTATTCTTGAATTTAAAATGATTTTATTGTGTACTGTGTAATGTTACATTTAGAATAAAATATTTCAACGAATTAAATTGATATAAATATTATTTTGTCATTCATAAAATTATATTATTAGCTACAGTTACACGTCTAAAACAATGATTTAAATGTAATTTTCTTATTAATTACTTTATGCAACATTATAGCTAATTTAAATTGATCCCAAATATTATTTCTCAACTACTTCTTAATTAAAATATTATAATTACTTTGAAACTGATTATATACCTACGAGTATCTACTTCAATACCTCGTCACTCCTGTCACTTTTGCTTTATACCTAAATAGTTTATGGTCTATCTTCTAGTCTTCTACAAATAAGCAGTATTTCATATCCACCCTTTTTTTCAATTATCAATCGCTTAATCACAGAAATGTCTTCGAAAAGTGAAAAAGATCGAGCCAAACAGATTCAAGATCGATGTCAAAATATATTGATTCAATTACTAAAAGATGAGGACAATAAATACTGTGTTGACTGTGACGCCAAGGGTGAGTAAATTCTTTTTTGTATTTTTTACTTTCTAAGAGACGCGTAAATATCCATTCATAACTATAAGTTATCGTACAAAGGAACTACCTTTAAATTAAAATGAAACGCATAAAATATTAGCGTTTCAAAAGAGCCTTCAAACTCCTAAATTTACGTGTTTCGATTTATGTTTGACTCACGCTATCTGAAATTATAACATTTTCGTTATCAATAATTAGTAGAACTTATGATCACATTACATAGATTTTTATAGATAAAAATAATTCAAAACAACAGTAGAGGCATCTATGCCGCTTTTAAGTCGAAAATAATCATTAATTTTGTAAATTAAGTTTTTGCAGATCCTATGATCTAAATATATTTATATGAAATAAAAATAATACTAAATATAAATTGATTATTTTATGTGCTCAGATAGGTAAAAACAACTAAATTAAATACCTAATATTCTATGTTTATTAAGCTGAGTTTATTAAGTGACAAAAACCACATAGAAACGAATAAATATTTATAAAGAATTTGAGTTGAGTTTTTAAATAGGGACATTGTTTTTAGCTACTAATTGTAAAAACATGATTACAACTAATTCCGATTTTATGCTGCTGTCATCATAAAAAAGATAAAAAATCATTTGTTATCAATTTACTTTACGGTCATAAATATTGAATGTTATGATGAGGAACTTATGTACTTTCTCATATTTGGATATATTATTTGATAAGATTTAAATTATGGTGTTTTTTTATTTTAGAATATTTTTTTATTCAAACCATTTTACAAGTACAACTTACTCGTAAAATAAATAATTTTATGAATTCTCAGTCAAGTCTCACTTTCGTTGAGCACAATTTACTTTTCCAAAGCCAAGGATTGTTATAAATTATAGTACACACAAAAGTTATTAACAAGCTCCGTAAACAATAGTATTAAAAGAGTTAACTGTCATACTCATAGATGTTAACAATAGAACTGTGTCTAGGTTGGAGCCTAACCTAGATTGGTAGGTTTCTTTTCTCTGCTTATTATTTAAGTTTTATAGTGTTATTCATCAACCTGCACATACAAGTATAGGAAGTGGAAATCTAATTACTAATTACCAAGGTTTTTTTACATTCTAAACTCTAATAATAAATATAGCAACTGCATCATCAAAGTTTTTATTAAATCTGAATTGAATTGGACATTTTATTAAAATTAAGAATAATAATGATATTATGCAATTATTTCCTGTAGCTTTAACCTGACTGATGGTAATTTATTGTATTCAAATTTTTACTTATAATATTTGTTAGTTATTGTTAATTTAAAGGTAGTGGTAGTGAAACAGGTTCAAATCCCGGGTCCCACACTTCTGATATTTTTATATTATGCTACTCATTTCCAACATGATTACCACTTGTCTCACGGTGATGGAAAACATTGTGAGAAAACCTGCATGTCTGAGAAAACCTATCAAGTTTTCGAAAGACATGTGAAGTCTGCCAACCCACTTTTGGCCATTGTGGTGGACGATGGCCTGATTCCCCTCGTATTGAAAGGCCCATGACCATCTGTGGAATGTTAAAAAAAGCTGAATACAAACATAATTAAATGATTTCATTAATTCATATTTAATAAAAAATTAAAGATAAATGAGTCATGTCTGACACCTTGCATGTTTCACTCCTGTTTTACATACAACCTGTGAAATGTCAATGAGTCATAAGTAAAAGCATTATTAGGGTCTCTAAGCCGTATTAGCATACAATTCGACAGCAAATTAATTTTAAGCTGACATATTCCATTTACTGTACAAAAAAACATAATATAATTTACATACAACTTTTTTAAATTGCAATCTGTGCTGCACCATGATCGGCGTTTCTTAAGTCCTTTGTACTAAAAAACACGGATTTAAATTCATCTAAAGTGAATATTAGATTAGATGTTGGAAGGTACCCAAAACCCATTCTCTCGATGTCGACGTAAAAATGGGAACATGACTCACTATATAATCCCACTATTTCCGACCCCGTAATTAAAATCTTCCTGTCTTTCCGGCAAATTTTTTAGACATGGTAGGTAATCATTTATTTTAATATACTGTCATTAAGCATCACATACCTTCATTGGGTTCTATAAAAATAATTTTCATAACGGATTCGAATGAAGCCATTTAACAGGTCGAAAGGTCATTCTGTACAATTAATTTAATATGCTGTGCTTGTGAATATTACACGAATATTTTGTATTGGATATTTGTATTTATGTGGCTTATAATGCTTTTAAACCACAAAATTTGTTAGGAATATTTTTATTTTAGTAACTTATTAATGTCCTTCAGACTTGATGTTTATTGGAACTATTGTCTATAACCGCAGTGAGATTCTCCATTTGTGTGAAAGCTATTGTAATGCACTGGTAAGTGTATAAAGATGTGCTCGTTCTATTCGTTCAAGCTCATAGCCCCAAGGGTTGGAAATTTGATACGATTAAAGAGAGCGCAAGATTGACAATTTTAATTGCGCTACGAAGTACAGGGGGAGGGTTAACGCTCGTAAATATAAATCTCCAAATAGAATTCATTCTTGAGAATTTCTTAATAGAAAATCTTAACTGCATTCTAAGTTTTTTTGGGCCTGACCCATAACTTGAAACTGAAAACTCGTAACCTGCCACTGTGCAAAGTAACCACTAAACCAATATTTTAGGCTATATTATTGTCTCCTTACTGTGGGCCTATTCGCCGTACTCCCTAAATATCTTTAGCGTTTAGTCTACCTCTCCACTTTCCTTTATAATATCGGGAATTGTCATGAACAACTGTTCATGCCAATTTCCAAAAAAATGTTCGATTTTTACGCACTTCGTACACGAATGAATGATCGTATGTACTTTTATAAGAAACTAGACACAGCATAATTTGACATAGAGAGGTACACTCATCGATCAAAAAAAAAGTGTGTTTGTTTGTTTGTCCTTCTTTCACGTCGAAACGGAGTGATGGATTGGCGTGTTATTGTGTGAAGATAGTTGGCGGGCTGGAGAGTGACAAAGACTACTTTTTACCGCGGGAGATTGTCTCATTCCCACGGGAAAACACGTTTTTTTTTGTGACATTAACACACAGCACCATCTAGTTCCATGGTAAGCTACGAGGCTTGTGTTATAAATACCAGATAATTGATACACTACACATATATAAACTTATAAATACATACATATTATAAATATAAACACCCATGACTGGAGTACAAACATTCGTGCTCATCACACAATGAATGCCCCCAGCGGGACTCGAACCTGCGACCGCTGGCACAGCAAGTAGGATCACTACACACTGAGCCAACCGTGTCGTCAAACGTTATATTACAATCCAAATATTTATGATCAGAATTACTTGAAACTTGGTATTAATGCTCTTCAATGAAATTAAATAAATACGTGTATTAACATTTTTCCAAATTCATCTTATATCATTCATCTTATATATATTATCGACTCTGGTCTAAAAACAAAAATAGACAGATCGTTTCACAAACAAAATGGTTATTTTAATTAATTTAATGTATTTTGTATAAAAATATTAGCTTTCTACACTATATCTCCATATAAAGTTTTAACTGTGTCAAATTTCACATTCCTCCGTAAGCGTAATTTTCTTAAGAAGGGATACAAAGTTTTTGCTTCACGTATTAATACATAATTCTCAATTTTACCACAGACTTTAACAATAAACAAAAAAGTATATATGCGTGTGTGTGTGTGTGTCAAATACATGGTAGTGTGTGATGTTTTTTTTATTGATTCAATGTATTTTTTATGCATAATTTTTAAAAAATATTAGCATTCTGCACTCCTTCTCTATATAAACTGTAAGTGTGGGAAATTTCATACCCCTCCGTCTGCGCAATTTTTGTAAAAAGGGGTACAAAGTTTTAGCTTCACATATTAATATATAATGTAATTATCAGGTCCTCGATGGGCGTCATGGAACCTCGGTATATTCCTGTGCATCCGCTGTGCGGGTATCCACCGGAACCTGGGGGTGCACATCTCTAAAGTAAAGAGTGTCAACCTCGACTCCTGGACCGCTGAGCAAGTTGTAAGTCATTAATTTTATTATATACCTAAATCTTCAATTTTCAATTGGTATTTTATCAAACTAATAATGTTTGTGATATTGAGTGAACTTAATAAAACCTATGCATGGGCGTTTCATAACGCGCGTTAGAATAGGTTCTTCCGCGACGATCTAGGAGTAGGGGTCAGTCGCATATTTTACGCTGATAAAATGCATAGATTACTGACGTTTGTAGCGATGCAAACGCGTGACAAAGCACGTCGACAGTGTGTTTACTGCGCGTTGACTTGCGACGACGGCGCGTTTAAAAGTCATCGTGTGCATAGACCCTTCATTTTTCACACTGCAGTGGCTGTATGCTAGAAGCTTAAACAAGATGACATTCTACAAGCACTATATCTAACATTGTAGGAAATCAATTTTCCATTTAGATGATATCACTAATATTATTTTTTCTATTAAAGACATTTATTTATTTGTTTATATTTATTGGTCCATGAAACAAATGACAATCAAACACGTATAAAACAATAATTACTTACAAAATTAATACAGAAGCTTGCATTTTTCTAGATACAGACACAGCATGCATATACAAACAAAACCTAATTTTACAAAAAAAAAACGTCAAGTCAACACGAAACATAAAATGTGTTCAATTTTAGGTATATCTCCAACAAATGGGCAACTCGCGCGCCCGAGCAGTATACGAAGCAAATCTACCGGATTCTTTTCGAAGGCCGCAAAATGATTCGTCACTGGAAGCCTTCATCAGAGCCAAGTATGAACAGAAAAAATACATAGCCAAGGAGTGGGTACCGCCCACTATGCCTAAAGTTAACTGGTGAGTAAATATTCATTGTTAGACTTTGTTCTATTTTCATTTCTAAATCTTTTAATTTATTATTGAGAAAGTTGGTACATAAATAGCATGTAGTATGTATAATATAGATGGATATTCGACATCGACTTTAAAATTCGGAGCCGCAGATCAAGGAATATAATATTTTCTGTGAAAGAATTACCACGGCATGTAGAGAAGTGTACGAAACTGGTTGATGGATTTTAAAATAAACAGAAAATTGGTAGTAAAATTGACAGAGAGACTGGTCTATTAATGATAATGAATATAACAACAATTCGCTGCACGGAAATATTGAGGTTTCGTTCATACATGTACATACACACGCCTACGATAGTGGTCAAAATGAATTAATTATTGAATTTTATTGGTTTATGGCGAATGACAGGGAAAAGTGGAAAAACAGTAAGCCTTTGCGTTACATTAGGACACCACAGGAGTATAATAATAAAAAAATATAGTAAAAATGACGTGTTCAAAATAAAATCCATGAGTAAAAAGTAATAATAATTATTTTATAGGAATTTTGTTATGATTAATTGTATGTAGATAACAACTAACAGGGAACTTTCGAAACTAATCTAACCTTTCGTTTTAAAGATACGAGACGAGAGAGATGGAAGCGGAAATATTAAATTTACAAATATTCAAACAAATAGATGGCTATTTTATGTATATAATATGTTTATAATTACTTTGTGCTTATTTTAAATTGTCAGTGCACAAATATATCATCGTAATGTTAGTCAAATAGTTACGAGATAGTGATACAAATGTTGTTTACATGTTAGCTTTCTTTATTTGATATGTTTTAAAACTACATATAAAATATACTAAATTAATATAAGTATATATGTATAACGTATATATCTTAATCAACTGTCTCGTTGGTTTAGTGGTTAGTTTAGATTCAGTTGGTCGGGTCAAGTACAGTTTTGGCCTTTTCTGTTAGCTTTCTCAGTAACTGCCGGAGTTGGCGGTGTTTCACCCCCGTTCCTCGAAGAGCATGTAAAGCCATCGGTCCTGCGCCTTATTTCTCACCTTTCGATTTGTATGTTATAGTAATTTATTGTGTAATTGAAGGGAATTGTTAATTAAGAATGCACTTGTGTTTACGCTCATACTTATACACTCAGCGAGATTGGCCGCCGTAGCCGATATCGGTCAAGGAGATACTGTATCAAAATCTTTTAGCTGATGCTATTTACATGGCAATTTACACTTTCCTTTAATTTTTTTAGGGATAAAGAGATAGATGAGGAGATAGAGAAACAAAAACGTAAAAAAAGAGCCACAACATCAGGTTTGGGACCATTACCAGCGCCGTCTGGTGACAAGAAATACAATGTGAGTATATTAATTACTTATCTGCATGTATACTCTCAATTAAATTACTTAAAAAATAATAGAACTGAATCTGTAATTATTTTTACTGTCAAAAGTAACTCTATTTCTGAGTGATAAGCAAATTTTCTACATATAAAATGAACAGCGGGTTGAAACTAGACTAAATGTTGCAAATGATAAAAATATATATGCTTTGTGCAACTAACCTTTAACTTCATTAATTTTAATTTTTGTCATTTTTCCCAGAAATCTGATGTAATACCCAGCATTCCGAAGCCTAAATCGTCAGTGAGCCCTAAATTGGGCAGGAACACCCCAACGAGTCAAGCAGACACTAGCAAAACATCTAATGGCTCGGCCGATCTTCTAGGACTTGATACCACCAAACCTGAACCAAAACCGTCAACAAACGATGACATATTCTCTAGTTTCTTCTCAGCACCAGAAAAACCAGCAGAACCAAAACTAGAAGAAATCAAATCTGATCTAAAAACTGAAGAAGAGAACTTCTTCAAGCAACCCGCTCCAACGGAGAAGGAAAAGTCCAAATTAACAAAAGACAGTATTCTAGCCCTATACAGTCAAACACCGAGTAACACATTAGCGAGTCAATTTAATCCAGTTCAGCCAATACAACCAGCATACCCGCATGCATTCGGAACTTATCAGCCGTACAACAATATGCCAATGCAGAACGGAATGCAATCTTTCAACCAATTTCAATCTATGCCCAATCAGTTTCAAGCGTTTCCAAGTCAAATGCCCCAACAACAAAACCAGCCGTTTCAACAGAATCAATTCTTCAATCAACCACAAACAAACTTGCCTCAACAGTTCAGCGGGCTGAATCTAGGGCAGTTTCCAAACGCATTCCCACAAAAACCCAATGTGGCAAGCAATACGACCTGGCAATAGTTCGTTACTTAGTTCCCGTTTTGTAGATAAGGCAATACTTTGCTTGATAATTAAAAACCATTATAAATAAGATAATTTTAGTAAAATATCAACGTCCATACAGATATTTTTTCTTTTGAAAAATGACTTGGGGGGCCGTTCATAAAATATGTTCGCACTAATTGGAAGGGGTGTCGCGTACTGTGTCAAGGGGGGCCGGGGTGGGGTCTAAGGAAACGTGACGTTCGCTGCTCAAAAATCAAACAATTTTGTAAATTTTTCTCGCGGTTTTTTTTTTATTAATTTTTTGTTACGATAGGAAGTAATTCGTTTCATATTACCGTTTTAATGGCTTTAATAGATATTTCGGAACATTTGTAAAATCCTTGGGCTTCTGATAAATAACAAAAATATTTATTTGTTCGTTATTACAAATATTGATTTATTAAAATTTTACTATATTAAATAATATCAATAGTTCGTGACGCAATATTGATAAAACGAAGAAAATGACGAATGGGAGGGGGTGGTGGGAGAGGAGGGGGTCTAGAAAGTTAAAATTTTGCGTGACGTATTTTATGAACGGCCTCTTGTACAATACACTTATAACGCATATAATATATATATATATATATATATATATATATATATATATATATATGATATATATGGAATGATATAAATGGAAGCAAAATAGAGTGAGCGAGATAGACAGTGTTATTATATAAGAAGTTAGAAAAAGATGCATTGATATTTTATTATAATTATATGATAATGGTTGCGTTAGTTGGAGCATAAAGGTGAGTTCCCTACAGCCTTATGATTTTTCAATGGTGTGATACTGATGTTTATATATAGTTGTTTTTAAAGTGTTAACTACTAAATACTGCAAAGTTATTATCGACTGATAGTCATTTCTCTATGAATTTACTAAAATATAACGTAATGATGTTTGTTAGTTTGTTACCGGATATTGTTTAAACTTTGGTCTTTCATTAAAACGAAAATCATCAGCTTTTTTGTTTATGACGGCATTTGTAAGAAAATAATCTGTCATATGTTGGTATTAAAATTGCAACTTTGGTAGTTCTTAGGTTGGAGGGTAGAAGTAAGGAGAACTAACTTATATGGGAGACAACCTGTAAGCGGTAAATAACAGTATATAAACCCACGAGAATGGCGCTAGCGTAGCAAGAAGGTATGACATTAATTTAGCAGCTTGTAAATGGAGTGAAGTGTGCCGAGTTGGAAAATCTAATTTTTGGGTGACCTGAGTAGTTATCAAAACTTCAACAAACAAACACGTAGTTCAAAATAATTTATTAAGTATGTGTTTTATTTTTTATGAACTTTTAATAATATTTTTGGCGCTTTCTTGAAATTTTACCCTGTCGCTACTGTAGCGCCACGTTATTTAACGCCTTTCGACGGAAACTTTTTCATCACAGAGATAGTTCTCCTTATCTCTACCCTCCATGTTCTTCAGTGGACGAGCTCGTGGATAACCATAGACAATAATTGTCGAATCCTCTCACATCCAGAGACTTTTTTAAATCTTAGTTGAGTGAATGTAATGTAGAGAATTAGTTTATTTTTTGGCACTGAGACATTGGCCTTATTTCAAATATTATATATAATAAACGCACTATTTTAAATTTTATTTGAAATTATGGTATTATTTTTCGTTTATAACTGACTGTGTTATCAAAAATATAGTGATGTGAAAAATATAAAAAAATAATTATTAATTTTATTTAATGCGTGAATAGTGACCTAATATTCTCAGTGGCTTCACAAGAAAAAATGAATATTTACATTAAATGTGCAATGCAATTATTTTCAAAACCATTTTATATTCAAAGAAATTATTTTTTTTATTACAATTATACACCTTGTGTTAGATATTTTGCACGTAATAAAGTAGTGTTGTGTGTGCATGATTAACTAATTACAAATTTTTAATATTTTTAATTCCCATTTAATTTGCAATAATGACATTTTTATTATTATAGAGTCTATAGTATAGAAAAATCTGAATGGATTTTTCATATACCTACTGCCTTCTTTATTTTAATGCAGCTAGTATTTTTTTTTTTCATCTCATTAGCCAGATTAGTGTAATCTGGCAATGTTTATGTATTATTTCGATTCATATTAAAAATTAAAATAATTGAGTGTTTATAACAAAACTATCTTGTGTTGTGTATATGTACACGAATACAATACACATACCTTAAAATGCTGTCTACTGAAATAATATTCATATTTAACTACCTACATTCTTGGAAAACGTAACGTCTCATTTGAACCATAAACAATTTACTTAGAATATAATAATACTTTCTTAGATTTACGCGAATATTTGGCATTTTAAATAAAACTTTCTCGGATTTATTTTGATTTTTGGTTCCCGACGTTTCGAATGCTTTACAGCAATCATGGTCACTGGGTATGCACTGTCTGTAACAAGTTATAACGCTTTTGAGACATCTAACACCTTAGCCTCTCCCGTGACCATGATTGCTGTAAAGCATTTGAAACGTCGTTAACCAAAAATCAAAATAAATCCGAGAAATAATGCGAAAAGATAGTTTTATATAGAATATAATATTAATTTCATTTAAAGGTACACAATAAAGTATTGAATAATAAAAAAGAATTTAATTATAATTTTGGATTTCTTTCAAATTGACTTAATGGACAGTATTGCTCAATTAAAATGTATTTATTTTGTTATCAAGGCTTTTTAAAGACCTTAGTTCGAATTGGTGCAGTGAATGTTTCATAAATTGATATAATTTTATATTTTCAACTTGTCTTGTAAGTTACTTTAAGTATTATGTTTATTTTTATATAGTTAAATTTCATGTTTGTGCTTAAATTAGGTTTAATTAAATTCAGAAAATTAGGTTGAATGTTTGGTACTCTCCGTCTGTCAAATGATAGAGAGATGTGTGAGCGAGACAGAGCGATAATGCGCCAGGTGATTCTCTCTGATCTCTTTCTAAATCTCTAATTGGATAGTTGACATCATTAGCCAACAATTCCAAGACACGACTTTTCTAATGTACATATTATTAATAATTGTGCTGTCTTTTTTTGTACTTAGGTCTAAAGTGTATTAGGGATTTACTACTTCTTTACACATTATGAACTTAATATAGTTAAATGATCTTATTTTACCGATCTCCTTCGTCTCTTCTGCTTTAAACCATTAACAAGGCTTTAATTAACTGAGAAAAACACTTTTAGCCCAGAAAACCCGATTGATTTTTAATTAACTGTAAACGTTAAATTTATCGTTACTTTGAAATCGATAAATAGTAAATTGGGTTCGCAAATAAGTTACAGGTTGCTATTGTCATACAAAATGTATGGGAGAGTCGCGTTTTGACAGATTTTAGAACATAACAGATTTCATAAAGATCATGTCAATTGATTGGTGATTTGAAGCCATTACCAAGAAAATTGAATTGAATTGGTGGTGTCAATTACCCAATAAAATTGATTACATGGCGTGTTAGTACGGATGCTGTGCTTCAAGTGACATATCTTCATCTTAGTGCTTATTTGTCCAAACGACCAATTAACCGAAAGAGTTTTTAATACAGAATTATTGACTTTTAAATGTCAATTCTACTGGTATAAAATACGCATTTTACTTGAATAAACCCGAAAAAATGTATTTTATCTATAATCTTAATATATAATTCTTCTGTACGTGTGTTTGTTAACTTACTCTTCCTAAAGAACTGGACCGATTTGTGTGAAATTTTGTGTGTATATTTCAATAGGCTCCTGGATGGTTTGAAAATACAGTTTGACCTGGTAGGTGGCGCTGCTGTCGGTCGGTGTATCAAAGAGTTTTTTTTTTAATAGTATGAACGCGGGCGAAGCCGCGGGTACTGCTAGTTTGTATATATATAAATCTTAGAAATAAAGCTTTGTTTTTATAATAGAGGAAAAAATTATAAAGTACAACATTGGTCGTTTGAATAAATAAGCACTAAGGCGACCATAATATGTTGGCCACATGTTTCGCTTTGTCTCCCTGAGATTATTCAAATTTGTGTCTAAATGGTTCATGTTTCATATCTCATAGTTTATTCGTTTCATTATTTATTATATACAAATTTCATGTGATGTGATTCAGTTCGGAATATAACATTGTTTTTTAAATAAAAAATGCTTACATCTTTCTAAATATGTATTTGTATGTTTATAAAACATTCCATATTAAAAATAGATTCAATAGAATAACAACAAAAAGTCACTGAGCATGTTTTTTTTTATTAAAATCCAAATGTTTGATGTATTAAGTTACACAGTATAAGTAATTAACAATGTAAAATATTTTTGAAATGGATCACTTGTCATATTGGCATGATTTGGTCCATAGATTCTGTATTTAATTTTGAAATAAATATAATGCCCATAGTCAAAAAGTCTCTATTTCTTTCTCTCGGACAAACTACCGTAGGTCCCACAAATAGATATCAAAGTTTGTATTGTTGTAACCGGCCAAATCATTGAAGTATTATTTACAATGATTATCTGTATAATCTGTATAAACATTATAAATGTGAAAGTTTGTGAGTATGTATGCATGTTTGTTACTATTTCACGCTAGAACGGCTCAACGGGTCTGGATGAAATTTGGCACAGAGATAGATTATAGTCTGGAATAACACATGGCTACTTTTTATCCCGAAAAAATATATAGATTTGTTCTAGTTTTGTTTATTAATATTTTGACTAGAATGCAAAATACGTAATAGTATTTCTATTTTATTAATTCATTAGCTATCCAAAAATTTTCGTGTACCTTAAAGTTGGTATCTTTTTAGTTTTGCTTTATGTTAATATCCTTGGTATATGTATGTATATATTTACCTATCCAACTGTGGAATAGATAATATCACAAACATTAAAATATTTCTCTAATCATATATCACGATATATGTTCTCTAAAATAGATATCAGTTTTTAATCTTATTTACATATGAAATAAAAACTAGTTTTATTCAATTTGATTTAACAAGCTTAATCGTTAAAATATTTATACTTTTAGAACGCTTTTCTTATGGTTTACTGTTTTAGTTCCTTATATTTTGGCAATTTAATGGTAGAAGATCCGAACAACGTTTCAATCACTAAGCAGGTGGGCGAGTGACAACTCTTTTTTTTTAACGTTGGGAAATGCATTTACGCACGAGGTGTGGGACTCACCGGCAAAGCCAGTACTACCTAAAACCCAACAAAACCTTCACCCGTCTTAATGGGGCGTCACAGGATTCAACCCCGACGGCAGGTCTGCCGAAGCAGACCACAACGACCATGGGGTTGCTCCAAAGTCCACTCTGCTATCAGAGAAGTACCAGGAGCAAACCGCATGGTACACCGCCCATCGAAGAGGGCCACCTCCCACCGCCCACCGAAGTGAGCCATCTCCCTGTGCGTTTCTTGGCTTCGCGGATTGCCTAGCTACCTACTTCGTCGCTAACCCTACTTCGTGTCTTAGATTATCATGTATCCCTATTGGTTGTTGTTAATATCAAGGCAAAACGTTAAATAGTATTTAGATTATACTATAATATTAAGTCGTAACTGATTTTGATTTATTCGCGTCGGTTAATCTCCCTCGTTAGCCACTATAACAAAAACAAATTACAGTAGGTACATACATAAGTATTAAATAAGCATTCAGCTGAAATCAGTTATTTTAATCGTTAATCATTTCCGTATATCCTGTGACACTCTCACTATAAGATGAATCTAGCAACGTGTAATTAATCAAAATCGGTTAAGCCGTTTAATTATTAAGAGCTATCATAGGATCGGGCATACGTACATATATACAGGTAATATACATAATCCTCATTCACTTCGTATGAGGTCCGTCGGCTCGGGTCCATCGAAATAGCTGACGTTAGGTGGCGCTGAAGTGATGCACGGAGCCATATTAAGTAATATTGAGCTGTGAACCGATTATCTAGCAACTGAGCCGCAGCTCAACGGCTCTAGCTACTGTGAACTGAATATTTGAACCGGCTCTGAGCTGAGTTACACATAGTGACTTCGTAGCAATCGGGTAAAAATTGATTTTTAAACGACTTAAAAATGGCTTTTATTGTAAAGAAATAATTTATTAATAATAAAAATATCAATATAATAATAATAACAAATATTAATAATATAGGCATTAGTGATGTTTTTAAAATGTAATACATAAGTTATTTCACAATATTTGGTTAAAAATATTGAACTATGTACTTAAGTGGTAAAGCAGTGAAACGGAACGTATTTGTATGTGAAGTTTTTTAGTGTTCGTATTTTTTATTTTATTTATTTCTCGTTCATTTTGTTATTATTTTTTTAAGAATATTAGTGACTTAGCAGTAACATTATGGAAAAATGGTAAGTTGTATAATAACTTTTGTGGAAGAAAAAATTAAATTACTATCTTTCAAGTGTTGAGTGAATCTTACTTCAGTTTTGGCGCGCGAGGCCATGTTGACGGAACAGCTGTCGCGAGCTATCTTTATCATTTTCCTATATTTTTTGATATAGTATTGACAAAGGGCAGAGTTGTCTTAGTGTAAACAATAATATAAAATAATTGATTGTATAATTAAATTAAATAGCTGTACAAATTTCGGTGCAATATGTGTAAAAAATTATAAACAACAATGGCTTGTGGACTGGAAACTTATTCGGATAGTGACATTTCGACATCAGAAGAACGGGAGTTTTATGCGAAATGGAGCAAGTCTTCCGATTGGCTTTACTGTATTTGCGTGGTCACGTTTGATCTAGAACTCGGACAGGCAATGGAATGTGTTTACCCTTCAGGCGTAAAATTGTCGGATCAAGAAAAATGCAATATTTGCTATTTAGCTTTTCCGGACTCAAATTCAGGTTGTATGGGAGATACTCAATTTCATGTGAGACTCCGTACTCGCGCACCCCTTACACCCCAACAATTGAGTTATAACGAGGACAGTGTGCCGACTCTCCGCGCAGATTCCACGCACTACTGGGGCTTCGTTTATTTTCGTCAAGTCAAAGATCCTTCACTACCGCGAGGATATTTTCAGAAAAGCATCATATTACTCACACGTTTGCCATTTATTAATTTATTTTACAAGGTCATCCATTTAATAGCTCCCAAACATTTTGAAGATGGGGAGAGAAGCTTAGAAGCAGCATGGCATGATATTAATAGATGGCCAACACTTGATGCTGGTCAAAACATGCTTCTACCTGTATTAGGTACTGTTTTCCAGTCATATATCCCTAATCATAAGACTGGGAAAGTGTCAAGGTCAGATATAATAAAACAAGTGCATTCACCAAGTGTACCACACGTATTGGCTTCTATTCAGGATGTGAATGTGTTTGATGCACTGTCCAGTTTGATCTCACATTTACATTTATTATGGGAGCTCGTATTGACTGCCGAACCTATAGTAGTGATGGCAAGTTCTCCAACGGAGTGTTCTGCCTTGGTCCAAGCTTTGACATATCTCATTCAGCCACTACCATATGCAGCTGAATATAGACCATATTTCACAATACATGACAGTGAATTCAAAGAGTTTACTCGTAAACAATTCAATCCACCTTATGTAATTTTAGGTGTGACTAATCCATTTTTTACAAAAACATTACAACACTGGCCACATACTATCAAATTAAGTGACTCAACTTCCATCAAAATAAAGTTAAGAAAAGTAGGCAGTATTAAGCACTTAGATACTGCACCTGGTGTTTATACTCAATACAAACCGTTTTTAGAAAAAGATAAAACTATTATCAAAAAGCTTCATAACGGTATAAGAACTGATAGGCCATCCGAAGTACAAACAGCTATGGTTAAAAGACATCTGTTAGAGTTGACACAGAGTTTCATGATACCTTTAGAAAGATATATGGCATCATTAATGCCATTACAAAAGAATATATCACCATTTCGAGCACCACCAATACCAAATCCTTTTAATCCGGAAGACTTCTATGCTACACTCCAGCAAGCTGGACCAAGTCTGACAACAGGAATAAAAGGGGATTGGATAGGTCTATATAGAAACTTTTTTAGAACACCAAACTTTAGTGCATGGTTTCATGAAAGACATAGTAAATTATCAAATAAGTTACATGCCCTACAGCTTGAGGCTTTGGCTGAAAGTGATTTAAAGATGTGGTCAATCGGCAAAAAGGAAGTGGAGATAGTTGACATGGTTTTAAAGCTGCGAGAGGTTTTGAAAAGTGATCCTCCAGTTGCCCACAATACAAGGACACTATTAGCACGAAGGTTGGAAGATTTAAATTGTGTACTCCCAGATGATATGAAGTCCATCTTAAATGCAGCATCGTGACATACAGATTGCTGCTCCTCAGGGATAAGAGGATGCAGCATAGACTGCAAAGTTCAATTAAGAAATACCTATTGTAGGACTATTGCTTGCATGTAAAATATCCCTAAATGTAAATCTTATTTTCCTAAACATAATTTATTGACAGAATTAATGCTATTTTTGAAATAGATGACAATATATATAAACATTCTTCCTTCAATCACACTAATTCTGCAATATCATTTACATATAAAATGAATATTTTTAGATAATCTCTATGAATTGCATAATGACTTACAACATAATATTTTAATTTTTTAGTGTATGTCAGAAATAATGCTTCACTTTTCACGCTCTAATTAAAACTGTAAATAAAATAAACAAAATAGTTGTTAAAACTGTTTTTGAGTCTAGATATTTGTTAACTGTGTGTTGACCGATAAAATTGTAAAGTATAAATCTAGATCTAACTTTTAATGTTATGATGTTTATTTCACTACAGCAATTGATTTCTTATAAAATTACTGTGTAATAAAGATTGAATCTCCAAAATTATGTTTATAGCAGATACATAAATCAAATTTAAAACTAAACAAATAAAAGGAAATAAGTACCTGGTACTTAAAAACCATTTGTAATAAGAAATAAATTATCAAATTTAATGTTCCATGTAAACTGTAACAGACATATATTGAAAAAACTATTTTTACAGTTTTTAAAGTCATTAACTATTATAATTAACTAGTGGCTTATCCTGGATATGCTTGTGTGCGTCCCTAAGCTTGAATGCTTTAGGAACGCATGATAGACAAACATCCAAAGAAAAAATCTTGTTTTGGATTGTTCACAGATGTATACAGTATAACCCACCAGAGTTTCATCACAATCGGATCATCAATGGGTTTGGAACGCATAGAGGACGAACATATGAACATTCATTTTCATTTATATAGATAAAGGATAAATGAAATTATATTATTTTCTCTGAGTGTTTATTTACCTGATAGCATACTTGTAAATATTCAATGTCCAACACATAATTAAATTAGTTGTAAGCCTTATCCTTATAATTGACAAATATAGTACTTAGAATATTATGTTATATCATGCATTATAAAATATGTAAAGTGAAATCATACATAGTGAATTTTGCAACAATTGTTTTAGTTTGACGACACATTTGGCTCAGTTTGTAGTGATCCTGCTTACTTTGCCAGCAGTCGCGGGTTCGAGTGCCGCTGGGGGCGTTCATTTGTGTGATAATCACGAATGTTTGTACTCTACTCACGGGTGTTTATATTTATAATATGTATTTAAAGCTATATATGTGTAGCAGTGGCGAAAGGTCCATACAAGATGTCTAACCTTAAAATTATTTTGCTATAATTTTACATACATTTAATTTTTTAAATGTATCGTTATGTTCTTGAATCTTTTGTAAATATTTTTTTCTGCATTAATATGTTTATAAAAATGATATATTTTTGGAATGGCTTACCTCTGCTAAAATTTTACCCTTCGCCACTGATGTGTAGTGTACCAACTATCTGGTATCGATGATATTCCATAACACAAGCCTTGTAGCTTACCATGGACTTTGTTTATTATGTAAAATTAGACATGTAACATAGTGACTATTGCAATGGATGTTAAAAATATACATAAGAGTAAGCTAAAGCAAATATGAATTTTAAATCTTTATGAATAATAAACTTTGTAATAAGTAGATCCTCATATAATATGATAAATTAATCATTTATACAGTCCATCCACTGCATAATATACTCATAAGTAGTTTAAATGGTGACTGTGCACTATAGAATTTTAATTTTTTTTTTCTATGTTAAATTGACTTCACAATCCAGTGAATACTTTGTAATGATAGATTTCCAATATATTTCTAAAATTTCTTGGAATACTTACATTCGGCATTAATAAAACTTAAATTTTAATAGATGAAGGTTAAAAATCCACAATATGGAGACGTTTTTACATGCATGTAAAGATAAATACAAAATAGTGATAATAATTATCTGGCATTATGAAAATGCATTGATCATTTTTTTCCACATAACTGAATCTGTCATCATATTATTTGAGTTTGTGTTATTTTTTTATAAATTCTAAATTACTAAAAAAAAAGATTGATAAGCTTCCATATTTCAGATTAGTTTTCTTATTATTTTTCGAATAATTGGTCTTAAATGTAAAGTGGTGGGCGCTAGGCAAATTTATCTCTTTAAGACTTAGATAAATATTTAATACGATCTATAGCCGATGTTATCAGCAACATAGAAATATCTCACGCTATTTATAAGCGTTTATAATTTTAAATTGGTGCCAAATTTTATATTTTTTTAGGCTTTGTAATATTTATAACGAGGTTATATATACTCTACCCTATCTTAAATGGTTAAAAAATGAAATTGCTGAGTTCAGCTATAAGTCAACCAGGGTAGTATTGTTATTGAAATTCGCGAAACAAAATTTATTCTTCATTCAGCCTTCATTGAAGTAGGTAAAGCTCCTATTACATTGCAATGACAGCAGCCGGTAAATAAAAAAATGAGATGGGCACTTTTAGAGTAGGTACATATACATATTTTAATTTTTGTGTTTTCTTAATTATATTTGCTCAAGTGCTATAACTGTTTTCACTATTTAATCCTCCACTCGCAATCTATAACGATATAGCAATTGTAACATATGTATAGAAATACGTATTTATTTACGCGCCATTAACGCCATCTATTGACAAATGTTATCTTCATATCTCTGGTACTAAGTGACGTGCGTACATTTGATGTACATTCAAATATCATTAACTGATTGACTGAATTTCTCAAATGTGCGCTCTCTGAAATAATGTAAATATAGATATTGTAGAACATTAAAAATAAAACGATTACTTTTTCAAACATAGTTTTATTTATGGCTTAGACAAATTGTGCTAATCCTGGTTCGATATGGGAATCACAATCGAAGGCAGGCAACAAGCGCACTAGACTACAAGTGTAATGACATGGCACAAACAAGTCTTATACACTCGACATATCCTTTGGTGCTGATAGCATAACATGACAGCCAAATGATATATTGCCAACCCCAAATTATCTCATTACATTAAGACACTTTTTTTTTACAAATTTATTAATAACATTGTATATGAGCAATGATTTTCGAAAAACTATTTATTTTTAACACAAATATAAAGTGAAAATATTCTTCAAATTGTAAATTTAAATAGTTTGTGTTTATTCAACTATATTTGTCATAACAAAAATAAATTTTTATTACAATATCACATAAATAAAATTTTATTATAGCTAAAAACATGGTGTTTTTAGGGTTCCATACCCAAAGGGTAAAACGGGACCGTATTACTAAGACTCTGCTGTCCGTCTGTCTGTCACCAGGCTGTATCTCATGGATCGTGATAGTTACAGTTGAATTTTGCATAGATGATGTATTTCTGTTGCCGCTTTGACAACAAATACTAAAAAACACAATAATATAAATATTTAAGGGGGCTCCCATATACAACAACGTGATTTTTTTTGGCTCGTTTTTGCTCAATATTGCTAATGGCAACAGGTAGGTGCTTAAAATATTCACAGAATATTTAGTTATATATTCACTTAAAAAATAAATAATTAAAATAAATATTTAAGTGGGGCTCCCATACAACAGACATGATTTTTTTTGCCATTTTTATAACTAATGGTATGGAACCCTTCGTGCGCGAGTCCGACTCGCACTTAGCCGGTTTTTTTATTTTAAAATATTATGGAGTAGCAACTTATCACCTAGCTGACAATAATTAAAAAATAACAGTCCTATTATTTACATAACTAAGGGAAGGCGGTTTCACATTCTTATATATCTTGCTTTACTCCAAATATTATCATTATCTGTGACGAGAGTGTAAATTCCTGCGAGGGTTAATCCTGCTGCAGCACCAAGGCCCATTGAGCGGAGGCCTGAAGTACTTTTGTATAGTACTCCAGTAGTTGCAGCTGCAATAAAGGTATTTGCTGTGTCTTCTTTATCACGAAGCCATGTGATACCAAGGGCGAGAGTTGAATAGAATGATGCTATAACACCTAGTGTGCAACCAGTTGTGGTACCTGTACATAAATAAGTGAATTAAGTTAACTTCTTACTATTCAATCATTTGTAATGGCTAAAGGCATACATTTTTATAATGGCTGTTTTTGGTTGGGTTTTTAAATATTAAAAGCTGTTTACACTTCTTACTTACTTAAAATAATGACAGTTTCATTACCTAAATTGTTTGTGGATACTGTGTTTAATGCAACCAATATGATTCTTAAAATTTTACAGATGGATTTTCAATTATTTTTAATATACTATTTGATTTATAAAAGCAAAAACAAGAATCATTATTAAATAATACTATAAATATCTTTAAAATGCAATATGATAATTTTTAATATCGAAAGGTTTTAAAAAATAAATGGACTATAATTTCTTTTTAATATGAATGGTGAAAACAGTAAATTATTATCTATCAATATTTAAAAAAATTATTATAATAATAGCATAAAGTACTTTAAGTGAATTCAATGTTTACTGACCTTGTTTCATAACATAATTAATTAGTTGTGTTCTTCGAACTTTGCCAGTCTGTCCTGCAAGTGTTGTTGCTCTCAATCCCTTATACAGACCGGCCATACCTCCTATACCTAGACATATAGTTATTATGGCTTTAAAATTTGTCTTATTTTGAAATTATTATCATTATATTTTTAAAGCTTTTTATAATTTAAAGGCAAATATATATACTTAAGTTTTGAAAGAAATATAAATAAAATAGTGTAAATTTTAAACTTATTGGTTACATATTTACTACTTCAAGTTTTACCAAATGAGCATGTATATATATTATAAAAATATGTTTAAATATTATAAATTGTTATGTAAAATAATAGAGGTTATATTACACATCAATAAAATATGGCTTTTGTATTAACCTGATCCAGTCATAAATGACATTCCTATGATTGGCAAGGCTACATTCGATCGTCTAGCAGTCGAAGCCATGTGACTCTCGTCAGGATACAAGAATTCTGGCTGCATTTTTGGTATATAGTTAGGGTCAAAGTTTAAGTACGGGGAAAGGTTTCCACCACCCTGCTGTTTTCTCTCTTCATTTTTATTTATAGGTAATATATCACTAAATATCGACATTTTCGTTGGGTTTACACTAAATTTACTATACTAATACTATTTTGACGTGATTTTGTAATCACGCAGGGAATTTACAGGGGTCGGTCGATCTTGAAAATTGTAATGTCAATTTATGACATTTTATGATTTTTTATCACTGACCACAGATGATGACTGTTATAGAGTATATAGATTATAGAGTATATATTTTATGTCTTGTATTGTGATATTAGATTTTATTTATTTAAACTTTGATGCAAAGTTACTAACACAAAAAATAATATTTAACGTTAGACTTTATATAATATTAAACACTATTAATATTTACATAAATATTGTAAAAATGTAAAGTTTGCGTATAGGAGGTATTTTTTGCAACCTCTTATTCGATTTCAATAATTATTCAACCATTCAAATTTTTTCTCATTTTTTTCCTATTTACAATAGTATTTTTTTCATTCCATGCCATTCTCATTTTTTTCTTATTTAGAATGGGCCTTGAGAGTGGACATAGGATGTGATTTTTCGTGGAGGCCGATAATTTTGCTTCCTAAGTCGATATGTACACGCCATGGACGGTACTGGCTAGTGCTCACTACTTATACAATTAATATGGCATTGATTGTTATTATGATTTGTTTTAGCGACGAAAGAACTCCTGAAGATGTGAGGAAAATAATTAAAACAGCAAAACTTCATGAATCAGAATTGACTGAAATTACCCAGATATTAAGATTTCCAGATCCAAGCGAACAAAACGATAACTTGAGACTTATGCTTTTAGACGACAATTTGTTAAAAGAAATTGAAGCCGGAAATCAATTAATATTTAAAGGTAATAAAGAGTCTATTCAATTTCATACAAAAACACAAGAGCCATTTGAAAGATCAATACTTTAGGATTACTTTTTTTACTTTCTATGTAAATATATTTTTCTTTTATGTATATGGCCTTAGAGCCTGTGAACGCCAGACCTTCGTCATTTTATAAAAGCTGAAAGTTTGTCAGCGCATGCTCCTAACACAGATAAGAACGATGGACCATTATGAAGTTCAGGCTATGGTGGCTTTGGCAGGTACACGGTACTAAAAGTATGTAAAATACCGATCTAAATTCGTCAAATAATAAAGTGTGATTTTTTGGTATTACCTTCAAAATATTATTAAAAATCACGTCATTCAATGCCAGACACTTAATTAACAACGTGGCAAACCCTTGCCAGACACCCTTTTCATGAAATCATAATTCTACTTACGTTATAGTATAAAAGCTGATTTTTACATATAATACTTGGGTAATAATTAGATGATTTATAAGACTGCTAGCTTCGCTTATCGCACCTATGTCGACTTTTTTGTTAGATCTAAAAGTTGACTGGTAAGGATTTCTATTATATGCTTTGTGAAATAAAGATTTTAAAAAATATTAAAAAATGCTTTTATTTGCTATAATAATAATTAATTAATGTATGAAATTATTTACCACTATTCAATTAGACGTATAAAGATGTAAGTACATATTATGTGTTACGACATATTAAATATTCAAAAAACATTCATTTAAAATAAATATCATTTTAGGAGATCCTGATGATAACGTAGTATTATGTACTAATAACAAAACATACGATGTCAAGGAAGCGGAAACCTCAAATAGTCTATTACTAGTTCCCGATTTATTATTTGCTGTCTCTACCGGCCTTGACGAAACTATAGCAAATAATTCTATGGAAAGCGATTCAGATACGTCTTTTGATAAGTCCAATAGTAGCTTAAACAAATCCACTGATTCTGATGATGGCAGACCTCCAAGACATATTGTTACCAAAGACATTCTTAACACATTCTTTACATATTACGAATTAAAACCTTGCAAACCTCGCTTATCCAAGTTAAGGAAACTTCTAGAGCAAACTATGTATCAAGGTGTAGAACTTGAATATACAGTAGATAAATCAAAACTATTGACTTATGATGACATTTTTGATCAAGTGCAAGCCTCTAAAGAAGAGCTAGACGAGGAATTCATAAAAATACAAGCTATAAAAATCGATGATTACTATCGATTGTTGGAATTTGATTATGAATTCCGAGTTTTGTCGTATATGCTGGATTTAATTGATGAAAACTCTTGGCCGCTGAACAAAATTTCAAAAGAAATTACGTTAGAAAGTTTAAAAGAGTTGGTGCCTCCTTGTATTTTAGAGGCAATGTTCTCGTTTTACACAGTCGAATCGATTAACGAGGATGGTGTCCAGTATTATGAATATAAACAAGACAAAGTATGTCGTTATTTGGCAAGAGTGTTATTGAAAAGTGCTGGAAAGTTTAATTTAGCTGAGTTTCTGCAAGCGTGGAGAGATTCGGTACCGGACGGGATGACGACGAATGTAAGTATTTGAAATATTTTAAGTTTTAACCGTTTTAAATACTATCTTTTAGGATTTTTCGTGCATTTATTTTGGTTTTTGGTTCCCGACGTTTGGAATGATTTACAGCAATCACGGGAGAGACTAAGGTTTTAGACGTCTCAAAAGTTATTATATGGTTGTTACAGACGGTGGGTAGATACCCATAAAATTATACAATAATTATTTAAAGAAATATAATAATTATAAATTAAAAATTTAAAAAACCTCCTACGCAAATTAATTGTCATTTAACGATTACGATGGCACGCGTGAAGCGCTTGATCGAGTAATATGTACTACGAAAAAAAAAACGAGCAATACGCCAAAATGACTTACATCATTTTGGAAAAGAGTTGATACTCTTACACTGCTGGACCGATATTAACTAAACATAGCTAAAAACCACCGCACGGAAACTGGCTTTCAAATGAAAAATACCGAATCAAAATCAGTCCATCCGTTTGAGAGCTACGATGCCACAGACAGACAAACACACTCACACACAGACAGACATCGACGTCAAACTTGTAACACCCCTCTTTTTGCGTCGGGGGTTAAAAATGGCATTGAAGTATCTTACAATACTTGTACTTGTGTAGTATATTATTGTTTTTATTTCAGGAATCATTATTATCTGGTATAGCATTAATAGATAAGTCGTCGTCACCTCAAGTGGTGTGGGGTTTCTCCGAGAACGATCTACCGGAAGACATCAATCAAAGATTCAAAGTGTTGTTTCAAACTAAAGCGAAATGGACCGTCGATGAGATATCTCCGTATGTAGAGTAAGTTCTATGAAAACCTAATATATTTTCTGTAAAATGTATATCATATCTACATATAAGTTGTTTTTTTTATAATATGAATAATTAGCAAATTATGCAACGGTAAGTAAAAGGTTATTTGCTAACATAGGTTGCTTGAGACGATGGAAAAAATTGCTGCCAATTAAAACCAAGGTTTTTAGCTCACTCACTACTGCTACCAATTTTAGGCTAATAATGTCCTTCCAACCGGTTCCCGCCACAGCGGCCAATCTCACTAAGACTAGATGATTGCAGGAGACATTATAGTGCAGTGCCTGTACGCTCTTTATTCCTTTTACTCACAATGTCCGATGGGACGATACTTTGATACTCGCGGTGAGAGTTAAGGCGCAGAACCGTCGCGACATGTGCTTTGCCTCGGCACAGCGGTGCAACACTACCAACTTCCCAACTCCGGGCTGTTACTGAGAATATCTTTACAGGACAACTCAGTAATAATTAAACTTGTCTCGACCCGGGACTCCAACCTAGGACTGACAGGATCTGTAGCCGTACATGCGAGCCACTAGACTACCGAGGCAGTTTTAGAATATCTTGATGCTACCTTGACGTTTCGGAGGAACAGCTTAATAAACTCAAATCTCTGCGAAACATGTGCCTTAGATTTATTTTTAAATTCGACCATATTTCTGAGTTCTGTATACAACTTAAATAATTTATTAGATACAGTCGCAGCTTGTACGTACTTTCTCTTCTTTTTCCATCCTCTATAATCTAAAGACTCCCTGTTACTTAAAGAAGTGTTTCAATTTCATAAGATCGGGTCAATGTGGTATCGAACTCGGATCTTAGAAAGATAATCGTTCAAATTTCTCACCTGGTACATTATTATGCCAATTTTTTTACTCTTAAATCCGTCAAAATATTTAATGTGCTTTTCCGCGATGTCCGCCACTCAAATTTGCTAGAAATTTTAAACGTCGTTTAACTAATAATTTACCCCTTTAATCATAGAGCTGTGTATACTGTTTTTTTATTATATGTATAGTATATTCACTCGCTTGGGAAAACGAGTAAGCAGGTTCAAATCTCGGTTCTCGCGCCTCTGATATTCTTATAGCGAATACGGTGAAGGAAAACATCGTGAGGAAACCTGCATGTCTGAGAGAACCTAGCAAGTTTTCGAAAGTTATGTATAGTCCGCCAACGCGCATTTGGCAAGCGTGTTGGACTATGGTTTGAACCCCCTCGTATTGTAGAACGGAAGGTTTATAATATTAGTGTATTTTTCAGATTATACGCCACAGAAAAGTTAAACGTGAACGCATTGCTAACGAAGTACGCGCGTGCTTCCACGCAAGATGGCGTCCGGGTGTTCTCTGCGAAACATATGAAGTGACGTGCATCCATTAGTTTTTATGTCAATAAAACTTGATATTTTATATTTCGTTATTTTTATTTCATACCTGTACATTTTTTGAAGATAATCCGTAATCTACTTAAATCGATTGTTTTACGAGTAATAACATAATCAACAAATGAAATATTTTTTTATCATCAAATGGAATATTTCATACCAAAATATCTTGAGTAGCTTATAAGATCCTCAAAGATTTTTGATTTTAAAAGCAAGTCTTTAAAAGTGTAAGCAATCCGGGGTAAACTCCGATTAGCTTATATAGAGTCTCGACTCTCAAATACATACCAATAGAAGACGTATTTAAGACAAACCATGAATAAATTATTTTAGAATAAATTATTTTTTTATAGCCATAACACGAATGAAACCGCAGGGCAAACCTAGTGGACTTTAAAAATCCTTTATAAAACGGTCTCAAGTGATGCACGTTTTAGTAAACAGCTAAAAAGCTAAAGAAAATTAAATTAGCTTATAATACATATGAAATATCTTTTAAAAGTTGGTGTAAAACTACATATTGAACGTTAAATTTTATGGGTAACAAGTCTTATTCAATTATTGTATCTTTTTTGTTATACACAGATTTTACAGTGACAGTTTAAAAAAGGTAATCCACCCATTGCCAGAAGTATTGCATATAGAACCCTAATAGCCAAAAGAAATAAAAAAAATCGGTGACAACATATCAGACGGACAAGAGAGTGATCTTATAAAGGTTCCTTTTTTACCTTTTGAGGTACGGAACCCTAAAAATAGATGAAAATGACGTATTCGCCTGGCTTTTTGATATAAAAAATGTAAAAATGACACATGGATGGAAAGATGTGTCACTTTCATATTAAACAAAATCCTACTAATATGTTTGTTACTCTTTCTACTTCTACTACGTTGAAATTTGGCACAAAGATAAATTATAGTGTAGATCTAGAATAACACATAAGCTACTTTTTATCCCGGAAAAATATACTGTTCCCCAGGGATAGATCCTTTTTGATTGTTTACAGGCGAACCCGAGCGAAGCGAGGGTGAGCCTCTAGTTTATCATAAACGTTTGTAGAATGTCATCTTGTCAAAGCCTTTACTCCGGGAATAGTGGACTTATTTAGAATTCTATTTTCTGATTGGATACGAGAAGATTATACATTTTTTGTGTATCGGATAAAATTATTGTTCTCCACATAATTTGAACCTAAATTATGACAATAAATAACAATGAAATGAAACAATATTAAAGAGACATCATAATATATATTTCTTAGAAACACATTGTATTTACAGGTATTCAGTTCATTAAAATATGTACAAATATATTTATTAACCTAAAAAGCACAGCCATTTCATTTATATACGACAGTGTTGCTCGAAAAAAAAACATTTTTTTAACATATAGCTTTGGATTTCAACATATTTTTCTTTTTAAAATATTGAAGAACAGAATAATATATTTATTATTATTAAATACTTTAAGTTCATATTAGATAAGTAATAGTAAAATATTCTTAAATCTAAATTTAAACTAAATATTTGGTCAAGTCTACGATTGTTGGATATTTGTCCTAAGCTTGTTCAATTCTTCCCACATCTCATTCGGCAGATCTTCACCTACTTCTTCTTTGAAATACTTTTCTATAGCGTCAGCCTGGAAATATTTTTTTTTAAGTTTTTTTATACATTAGAAGTAAGAAAGAAGTAAGCAAAAAAAATATAAATATTTAAATAAAATTAAATAATAAGTGTAGGTTTAGGCCCGTTATATTACAATCTTAAATTATTTAACTAACAAACTTTTTTAATGAAATATGTCCAATTGCATTAACAAGGCAAAGGTCACAACGTACTCAGCTTAAAAAAATCCATTAAAACTCACTTCTTTTATCCAAAAGTCTTTAGGGACGCTAAATAGCTGATCCATATCGACGTCAAGGCCGCTGGTGTTTAGGGCTCCGGCGGCGGGCACCAGGCCGAGAGGCGTCGCCTCGTGGCAGGGCTCCCCGTCCACGCGCCGCAGCACCCACTCCAACACTCGAGAGTTCTCACCGAAACCCGGCCAGAGGAACTTGCCCTGGATTGTTAATCTTATTTTAATATTTGTTCATATGTAGTATTTTATACTAATATCACGGAAAACAATTGTTTGTATAATGGGAATCTGTTATTGATGTGTATGTAAAATTATTAAAAAGAAATAGATTTTAAATTGTATTGATTGCTATTGAATGAACGTCATCTATCGGCTAGTCTGCCAATGTTTACATATACGTACATATTATTATGGTATGTATATGTATACTAATATTATAAAGAGATAAAGTTTGTGAGTTTGTTACGTTGTAGAGGGTAATCTCTGGATCTACTGGACCGATTTAGATGAAATTTGGTAAGAAGATAGTTTGAGACCCTGGGAAGGATATGCATAAGATACTTTTTATCCCGAAAATAATCTCTTAAGGGAGTGAAAATGGGGATGAAAGTTTTTATGGGGAATCAACCTAGGGAAGATATCAAGCGAAGCGAGGGTGAGTCGGTAGTATACTATATATTTCAAGTATGTAGTGCCTTTTTATAAATGAAATGATTACATGATTGTTTTCTTATGTATTTCTTGTGTGCGATAAAATGTCTATCTATCTATCAATATCTATAATACCTGTTCATCCTTCCTGAACCAGTTGACATGGAAGACCTTGGGCAGCTGCCGGCCGGCGCGCGGCATGCTGAGCCAGTGCTGCAGGTACTGCCCGAAGTTGTAGCCGAAGAACGGCCGCATCGCGAAGGGGTCGTGCATCACCACCTTACCCTGGATAATGGATAAATAAATTAGATATGTTTTTGAGAGTAGTTAGCGGACTTCACATGTCGTTTGAAAACTTGCTAGGTTCTCTCAGACATGCAGGTTTCCTCACGATGTTTTCCTTCACCGTCAGACGAGTGATGATTACGTTAGAAATGATTAGTACATGAAAATATCAGAGCTGCGAGACCACTGGGCTACCACCTAACACTGTCTTAAATTAATAAATTCAATTAGTATAACAGATACCAACCGCATGTTCAGCGGCAGCAGTGGCCTCGCTGCGCATGGCGGCGCCCAGGAACACGGCGTGCGGCCAGTCGCGCGCCTCCAGCACCCGCGGCACGCCGGCGGGCCGCCGCCCCCCGAACAGCACGGCGGAGATGGGCACCCCCTCCGCGCTCTCCCACTCGCTGTCTATGATCGGGCATTGGTTTGCTGGTGTGCAGAATCTATGGGAGGTTTTATTGAATGAGGGGTTTTTGTTATATGTTTTTTTGGAACGAAGTTCCTTATGGGACGGAGTAAGATTGGCAAAAAAAGTATGTGACGAAAATGCGTGGAATAAGATTTTTATGTATAGTTGATGTGTGTTCGCTATACAGTGTCTAATGTATAGTCTACGTTATTATAATATATTTTTATGAATCATACATAGTGAATAAAATAAAAGTATTAAGATAATTTTTTAACAACAATTTAAATTTTTTTCACAAAAAAATGCATTGCTTTTAAGGCTCAATTTACATTGTCGTATATTTATTTCGACTAGAATAATTACCTAAACACAATTGGTCATCGTTTTAAGATAACTTTTACATGGGATTGTGTATCTAGTACTTTTTCGATCGATGTTAAAATCTCAATCAGAACGTTACCTGGAGTTAGGATGAGCAGCAGGAGTCTTCTTTCCACTATCCCATTGCTGGCCCTTCCAGTCTGTGAGAATCCCGGGGGCTTCCCCCATGCCCTCCCACCACACGCCCCCGTCCTGCGTCTCCGCCACGTTAGTGAACACCGTGTTGCGGAATATTGACGCCATGGCTATGGGGTTTGTTGCTTCTGATGTACCTGACGGTTTAGTTTTTTTTTAGTATTTATATTTTATTTTATTTTAAATAAAATATATTCGGGGTTTGTCACGGTTTATTTTAATTTTGTGTTCCTGACTAGATTACATTTCGAATACATTAGAGCACTAGCAAAGATTTTGGATTAAGACGACTGTAAATTCATAGTTATAACAGACAGTGTGCCTTAGAATTATGTTACAATTTGGATAAAAATAGCATCGAAGTAGGTAACTTGAAATACTTTATCAATTTAAATCATTTTTTTATTTAAAATGTCAATTATGTATTCGCGAAATCTAAGAAAGTATTTTATTTACTTTTTAATTAATTCGTGTCAATATATTAGGTAAAATTTAATTAAAATATTTGTTTTTTTTTTAATAACGTCAGATTATTATCTCAAAATTAAAAAAAAAATTAGATCAGGTCCAATAGACCTTATTGCAATATAATTACCAATCACCCTCACTGTTAAGTCGAGATGGGTTAAATTAAAACATATTATCATAAGGCTGTTCTAATTAAACTTTTTTAAATTTAGCTCTTACCTGGTGCCACACCAAAGAACCCATTCTCAGGGTTGATGGCTCTCAAGACCCCATTCTTGTCGAACTTCATCCAAGCGATGTCATCCCCCACACACTCCACCTTATACCCGGGCAGGGTCGGGGTCATCATGGCCAGGTTTGTTTTGCCACAGGCTGAAGGGAATGCCGCTGCGATGTACCGCTTTCTGCCCTTGGGGTCTGTTATACCCACGATCTGAACCACACAAAACCATCATGCGTTTTTATATACTTTTATATACCATTTTAATATTTCAGTACTAATTTAAAATTTTAGTAACTTGAAGGGTTGGAAAAGAATTTAATCTTGGTCCTTCGAGGCGGATAAAAGTATTTTTATGACAAGAAATTTTCTGTTAACAAACATTGTATTACAACAGCAATAGTGAGTAGTTTTTTTTAATTTATTTAATGAAAAATAAATCAAATATTAATTTAATTTTTCGGCAAGTCGCAGAACTAACTCTTAATAAAGCCATTAACCAATATTTAGTTTATGCATATAAAAGATTAAAATAAAGTATGAATTAATTCATATCAATTGTTAAGTAGGTAGTGCTATAAACTGCTGTCATTAGTTCCAAAAGTAGCTACTAGGAAAATCCAATCACCGTCATGATAATATATCAAAATTTAACGTTTTTTTTACTTATGGATAGATCTATATAATGCAATTGCAACTGCCTCGGTGGTGTAGTGGCTAGCATATACGGCTGCACACTCGGAGGTCCTGAGTTCGAGTCCCAGGTCGGGCCAAGTTTAGTTATTGAGTCTTTCTGTATAGTCTCAGTAACAGCCCGGAGTTGGGAAGTTGGCGGTGTTTCACCCCCGTGCCTCGGAGAGCACGTAAAGCCGTCGGTCCTGCGCCTTAACTCCACTGGTCGTGTCTCGTGTCGTCCCACCGGAGTATGAGAGTGACAGGAATAGAGAGTGCACTTGTGTCTGCGCGTACACTTGTGCACTATAATATCTCCTGCGCAGTTGGCTAGTCTCAATGAGATTGGCCGCCGTGGCCGGAATCGGTCAGGAGAACATCATTATTATGCAATTTACATAAAAATATAACTCACCAGCATATGTTCCGCCAACCATCCCTCCTTCTTCGCTAGAACTGAGCCGAGGCGGAGAGCTAAGCACTTTTTGCCTAAAAGACTGTTGCCTCCGTAGCCACTACCTGTGGGAGACAGTGGACTTTAATATATTTTTTTTAATAAAGTTGCACCCGATTTTATAGTAATTTTGAAAACAATTATTCCACCATTAACGGTGAAAATTATTATATATTACACATTAATCATGTTAGATTATTGTGGGATATACATTACAATATATTAAATTATTATGGAACTACCCTTGAAGCCTATACCTATACTTTAAAAAAGACTCACGAAAATCGATTCATCTATTAATAGATAATTATGTTTGTTTTAAGCCAAAAATATCAAGTAACACAAAAAAACTATTTTACTTTTATAATAATATAATTAAATATAACAAATACGATATTTGACGTAGCAGTCTTGAAACATAACGTTTGTCTTTATCAATAGTATGGAGTCTCATCAAGAACAAAGAAAAGCTAGTTCAATTAAATGACAATAGATGGCGTTATATGTATCTTTTTTTGATATTACTGTAAAATTAAAACATAATATGCTTCTTTAAAAGTCCTGAAACAATTCATAAATAATAAACTCGTTATCATGAAGACGATGTGTAATAATGGTATGTGGTGTCGAAAAAACAAATTGGATGAAATTTTATGTCTGGTCAGCTACAATGCTCTTTAGCTAACCCAGCCAGTTTTAACTCCTCCAGGTAAATTTCTAAGAAATTTATTAAAATTCTAAGAAATCTATTGTTAACTGACACGCCGGCGTGTCCGCGGTCCTAATAAAAAACTCTGAAGCACTCACCATAACTGATAATCTCGTTATCACTAGGGCGGTGTAGGATGATGGTGCGCGCGGGGTCGCAGGGCCAGGCCGGCTGCCCCGCGCGGCCCGCCGCGTGCAAGCAGCGCACGAACTGCTCGTCCTTGCGCAGGGCCTCGAGCACTTTGCTGCCTGGTCGGTGAATATAGTAGTTCGTATATAGTAGTTGTCCGTGGTTTTGCTTGCGTTTTTATTTAAATTTTTAAAAGAGATTGCTTCGCTTATTATGTTAGGGTTTATGATCACTTTCAATAAATTGGTTTTAAAGTGCAGGCAGCGCACGGACTGCTCGTCCTTGCATAGAGTGTCTATTGCTGTACTGCCTGGTGGTTGGAATGTTTGGATGAACATTAACACGGGTTTTTGTTTTGCTTACGTTTTTTATTTACGTATTTAATGTGTAAAGGGTATCTAACACCTTAAATTTATACTCATATCTGAATATTCTGTTTGTTGATCTGCACGTGCTTATCTCTGGAACTACAGTCCGATTTGTTTTAATTATAGATATTATATTAGAGAAAATTCTAGACTAGTTAAGATATAACTTGGACAAAATAACCTCAATTATGTTTAAATTTAATAAATAAATGAATTATGGTCTATTTACGACCACGGGTCTAAGAAATAAAAATAAGTAAAAACAATATTATTATAACCCTTTAATTTTTATATGGGATCACTTAGTATGGATCTGCAAGCTGTTATACATATTCTAAGTACCCAATCTACGATATACATTTAACAATAATATTTCTCTTATAACTTTATCTTCCAATGTATTAAAAAAAACCTCCTTAATATATAGATCAATAGTTAAAACTTTTATTACTGTGACTGGTGATTCTTTAAATTGATGTAACTTCTTTATTTATAAACTTATTGAAATAAAACTAATACTAAATTTTAAGTGAAGCTTTACGATAATATATTAGTGAAAACCGCATCCAAATCGGTTAAGCTGTTTCTCAGATTAGCGCGCACAAACGCACAGACAAACAAAAAAACCGACAAACAAACAAATCGACAAACAGACAAAAATTCTAAAAATCATTGTTTTGGGTTCTATTGCGTAAATAAAGATCCCCAAAGATAGTTTTTCTCAAATATCTTCCATGTACAGACAGCGATCACATATACTTTTATTATATGTATAGAAGATAACAATACAAAAAATCTAAGCTTCTAAGTTAGTACATACATATAACTTACCCATTCTAGTCATAACTCGCATGGAGTAGACAACGTATGGTGAATCAGTCACTTCTATACCAATTTTGGACAGAGGCGATCCCAAGGGGCCCATGGAGAATGGGATTACATACATGGTGCGACCTAATGGAGGAAAAATTTCGTTAAATTATTTTATTACTGGCATCTTTTTTCATACATGAATATTATTTCAAATAATTAAAAATTGTAATGATCATAATAATCGCAAATTAAATAATTTCAAACTATAAAAGTATAGCAATACTAATTAGAATTATTTATTAATATTTTTAAAATTGTAAAGTACTTTGGTATCTCTTTTCTCCCATTCTTTTAGGGAAGACACTGTCTGTAATATGTATGAGTGAAAAACCTAAGTCTCCCATGAGTGACCATGATTGCTCCAACAAAAAATCAAAGTCGAAATTTTATTTAAAATTCACGTAAATTAACTATACTACAATCTAAGTCTTAACTTAGAACCTAAATACAGAATCTAAAGGAATATATTATATTTATTATATAATATACCTATACTATCTAAATAAATATATAATATAATATATACTATCTAAATAAAGGAAACTTAAACTCACCTCGCATGCATCCCGGAAACCGTTCAGCAACAGCTTTATCATAATCAGCAGGCGAAATATAGTTGCCTAAAGCAGACTTTTGCCCAGCCCTTGCCACAGGCACTACATCCCTCTCGTGTTCAGAGCATATGAACGTGCGGGACTCTACTCTGGCTACGTCTGCTGGATCAGTGCGTGTGAGCCAGCTGGAAAGTTAATTATAGTAAATAACCCTGCTTCAGGCAGTGATAGCCCAGTGGTAACAGGCTCGCTTGGGAAACTGAGTGAAGCGAAATCTCTGATATTTTCATGTGCCAATCATTTGCAATATCATTACAACTTTGTCTTACGTTGAAGAAAACGATCGTGAGGAAATCTGTATGTCTGAGAGAATTTATCGAATTTTCGGAAGACATGTGACGTCCGCCACCCCGCACTTGGCCAGCGTGGTGGACTATGGCCTGATCCCCACGTATTGCAGGGACGCCCGTGCGGAGTAGTGGGAGGTTAAAAAGGGCTGAATACACAACGCTGCTTCGCTCGTGTGCCTAAAAGTAGCCTATGTGTTACTTCAGGTCGTAGTCTATCTGTGTACTATTTTTTTTTATTCATGGCAGTTTCGGCGTGAAGCAGTAACAAACATACATACATACAAATTTTTAAATTTATATAAATAAGTAGTGTAATTCAGCTCTTTAAATCCCACTGTTGGGCACGAGCTTTCCTTTAATTCAAGAGATAAGGAGGAGAGGAGGTGGACACATATTTTATGTAACTCTTAATATAGTGGCATATCGAAAAATGTTTCTAAAATATAAATTAGACATTAAAACTTTTCTATCTTTGTGAATTAATTTTTGTATTTTTAGTTCTGCATATTTTTTTTTATAAAGAAGTTATAGATTATAAACAAGTTTCGTGATTTGTATAGAAAAAAGCCCACAAAAATGTATATACATATGTATTATGTATATATCTACTACAATGTATATTATATGATATAATCGTAAGAAAACTTTTCTAAAATGGTTTTAACAATGATTTTGTTTTTTTCCACCATACACACTTTTAAAGGTCAAAATCGTAAAAAATGTATGGTGTAGCTCGTTCCATACAAAGAAATAAATCTTACAGTAAGTAAAGTGCAAGCAAATCTCCTGTTCAGAATACTCACCAATTCTCGTATTTCGGCAAAGGTTTGACCGTGCCTTGATGTTGCATTAACTGCAGCAACGCACTCGCCTCGGCGTCCGAGCCGTCACACACGTGCACGTGCTCTGGCTCGCATAGCGCCGCGCTACGCTCTACGAATGCACGGACCTAGAAAGTTTTGATAAATTATATCTAATTTATTGTGTACTAGCATTGCTCGCGGCTCCGCTCGCGTTCAGATGACCAAAAACCAAATTCTTAGGTTTTACATATTAGTATACTCTTACAATGCAGTTTTTGTATTTTTTCTCAGAAATGAGATATTTTCCCGCGGTAAAAAGTATCCTATATGTTGACCCGGATAACCAGCTATCATCATACCAAATTTCATCAAAACCCCTTCAGTGGTTTTTCTCGTGATGCGGTAACAGACAGACAGACAGACAAAAATTCTAAAACCTATAGATTCGGACTCTGTATCGATAATAATGTCTATTTCAATTAGATTTTCCAAAAAATATTGAATGTACAGATTCGGCTTAGTTACAATTTTATTATATGTATAGATGTATTGTGTATTTCGCTTAATAGATAGAAAATAAAAAACCTATTCAATATATTGAAAAAATAACGTTTGCAAGCGTTTGTATACAATTACACCGCTTCTAAGGGTTTTAGCATGATTACGCAATATATTTTATCACGTAGTATAGATCAACACGTAAAATAATTAAAAAAAACTAAAAAAAACGCTTTTGGTGTATAAGTATTGAATGTTTTGGAACTCGTGAAGATGAATCATATGAGACCAAACTCGTGTGGCTAGTAAGACAATGAAGAGTTCCACTATACACCTCCTTTCCCCATTACATATAAAGTTTCTTTCCCATACGATAATAATAATTAGAAGTAGGTTAAAATTGACTTAGATAAAATTATTACATTGTTTCTTAGGTAGTTAGTTACAAGTGAAGCTAATAAAAGCGTGTTAAATATACGAAAACTAAAAAAAAAACTAAATAATAATCATCATTAAGATCTAAGAAGCGTAAGCTATTTTCGATACAGTATGCGGTGTCCACACCGCGACATGTTTTTATGTATACTATAAACGCAGAATATCTTCAAAGGGTTATTTTCTTGGATTGGAAAATTTTGCTTTATTTGAGGGTCGAGTTAGATCCTGTTTACTTGTTTATTTCAAAGATAACGATTATAAATATTTCCACTGCTAATTAATGTCAATATCGAATGATTACGTAATTAAGGGCTTATATTTTTGTATTGGATTAGATTAATAATATATTATTATTAGGCAAATAGATATCTTATCGTATTAATATATTATATTTTATCGTATGTATACTAATCGCTTCTTACCTTGGGAGTTAAGGTGGCAAGTTGAGGATTGGCCTTGGTGACTCCTCGGAGCGCGGCTTGGTGAGCTGCCCTGTTGCATCCAAGTGCAATTTGAGCGCATCTGTAACAAGTTGTTATAATTAGCTATATTATTTAAACTTTACGTTGAAACAATTAATTATATAATATTATAATTAATTAATAATTTAATTAATTATATGAGTTATTCTAATGAATTATTTTATTACATAAATCTATGTTCACAATATTGATTACTGGTTTAATCCCCGGCTTCGCTCGTGGGATAGTTTGTATAGCTATTTTCAATCAAATCTTCTAAGTTCTAAGAAAATTAATTTATAATACATATTTGTAAGTAAAATAAGGTATAAAGTAATTGGTATTAATTTAACAAAAAAGTTTATAGATATATAATATATATTTATTTACTTATGTTTGGACAATTATTTCTGTTATATTAGAAATAATTTTAGAACTTTAATTTAATGGCCAATTTAAAAAAAAATAAAAAAAATCTAATTGGATATTCATGGCCACTTGCACCAAATTTCTTAATTGTTTTTGAATGTCTTTGATATGTTTAGCAAACGTCAAGTACTGTTTGACGTTTGTTAAACATATTTAAGACATTTAAATCAAATTAAGAATGTGGTGTAATTGACCTTTAATATAACTAATTGATAATTGTGACGCAAAATTATTATGTTGATATGTTAATAATTACTATATAATAAATACCTCTAACATTTGATGTTAAGTGCTATTCCAAGTATAATTAACACTAACAAGTTACACAAAGGATTTATAAAATGTTTTCTTTGCCTAAAGAAAAAGATACAGAAAAATAAAAAAGTAAATATAAAAAATATGAATCTAATTTTTTTTGAATGCAGTCTTGTTCATTAATTCGTATTGCATATGTTAAAGAGAGATCTAGTTTAATTATAACCTATCGATTATAATGTACAAAAACTTGAAAATTATTTAGCACTCTACGTCTTATTATACAAAGCTCAATTATTTTATTGCACACCATGTATATTACGAAAAAATATGAAAAAAAAACAAAGATGAAGCATTTACTAAGATATATAGAGCTATGCTCTACATGAAACATCTCTGTAACTGTTATAACATAACTTCTTTCTAACAATATAATTATTTTATATATTACAATTAGTGTTTGTTTATTTGTCGTTCGTCAATACAACAACGGATTAATGGATTGGTGTTATATTTTGCAAAGAGATACTTTATGGGCTACTTTTGACGTAGGCTACTTTTAGACTTCAAAAAGTAGCTAAGTAGAGATACTAAATTCGTTTGTTTTTTTGTGAATATATTAGTTATACATCACTAATTATATGAATCGATTTTAATAATTATTTTATTAATGAATAGAAATATCCTGAAGAGTGCCATTAAAAAGTCCAACATTTACTAATTTACTAGTGACTACTATAGTCTAGACTCTAGGCAAATTATAAAGTGCTATTTGTATATACGAACTTTGTTCACTGATAAGTTGGGAATGATTGCCTCATATTACTATAATAACGTTATACTCGTAGAAGCAAATGACACAACTATAGAACAAAGTAAATTATAAACATTAAATATCCCATACTATATATCATATATAATAAATGATATATATAATAAACCCCATTAAATTTATCAATAAAAATAAAATATAAAAATTTATATTTTAAAGTTATTTTTGCATTATGTATTTTAGTATTTACAAAAAATGGTGAACTATTAGACATTTTATAATTATGATTTTTTTAATTTTAAAGTATTATATTTAAGTTAAAAAATACTTACTTTGCGCTGGATGTCACATAGCTTTCAGGAAGAACTTTGAAGTGTAGCATTTTTACAATAAATTATTAATTTGCAAAAAAAAAAAATAAAAAAATACTTTATGGTAATATAAAACTAAAAAAAAATTATAGTTTATCTAAATTACTGAAGCTGAAGAGGAATATGAGCCACTTGTAAAACTTTATAATGCTAAATCTGTCACCCATTTAACAGGAAACTTAGTTCGGAGTTCTTAAACAGTGAATTAGATTGAATGCGCACGCGCAATATATACGAGGGAGTGTTTTATTAGAGCGCGCTGATTGGTCGAATTGGCGGGCTCGTCTCTATGTGTACACTGTACAACAGTACTAGCCATTCAAAACAAACTACTTATGATGGTATTCAAGTCGCTGTTTCGTCAGATTTTGATCAAAGCTCAAGGCGTTCTTGCGTAATGCCATACGTTTGTTTGTCTGAATGTTTCCGTCGTTATAATTACGTACGTGTTTTATTTTTGTTTAGACTATTAAAACTAATCGAACTATATTTATATATGCGAGTTTGTATTTGTATATGTGTATATTTGTGTAACGGCTAAATTTAGTATATGGATTGTCTATGACCTGGAGTAGCACATAGGCTACTGTTAGGGCACCTAGAGAAGCACTCGAGAAAGGCGTGGGGTCAGTCGTTAGTAAATAAAATATATAATGTTACATGATCTACAATTAATACAAGTGTTTGAAGAGTATATATGTCATATCTTCCTTATTCGATATTTTAATTATGTTAAATATAATTTTAATTCTTGATATATGTGTGAAACAACCAAAAATATTTCAAATGAGCGTGTCAGCTGATAGAATGCGACTGAGAATGCATAGATACATTGAAAACCGCTATACATAAATCTAACTCGTTCTTCCAGTTACGAGTACATTCCATGCAGTTCCTATGCAATTTCAGAATTTGCAATCTAAGTTCTAACTATTGTTTTAGGTTTTTTAGTGTCGATGACTTGGTGGCGTAGTGGAATAACTTTAGTAGGCAAGTTTTCCTGCCAGAGGCTACAGATTCGAATTCCGCGTAGGTAAAGTAAATATGACTTCTTTTAGTAACCCTAGACACCATTTTTTTTCTTTGTATTTAAAAAGAAATAGTACCTACTTTATATACTGTTTCTGATCATAAGTGATATTGTATTCTATTCAGCTCTTTTTAATGTCCCACTGCTAGGCACGGGCCTCCCTTCAATACGTGGGGGGATCAGGCCATAGTCCACCACGCTGGCCAAGTGCGGGTTGGCGGACTTCACATGTCTTTCGAAAACTTGCTAGGTTCTCTCAGACATGCAGGTTTCCTCACGATGTTTTCCTTCACCGTAAGGCAAGCGGTAATCATGTTAGAAATGATTCGCACATGAAAATATCAGAGGTGCGAGACCCGGGATATGAACCCGCTTCACTCGGTGTCCCAAGCGAGCGTGTTACCACTGGGCTACCACTGCCTTTTATTTTATTTTAAGTGATATTGCTAAATGTTATTAAAGTATGTTAAGCTTAGGAAAATCGATTTTTAGCTTTTCTAAGTATTTATCTTAATTTCGTAACAATAAATAGGTTTCGCTCGGTTCTGACAGGGACGGTTTCTTTCATATTTAAGCGTTGTTTGGTATGGTTACATTTTTTAACATAATCTGTAATAACAGATACAAAATATTATACTATTTAGTTTTATAACTTCACTGTTCTAGCAGCTTTTAAAATATCAACCTTTTAGGTAAATGTGATAAAATTAAAATCTATCTGTGTTTTATAGTACAAAAGACTAAATCTTATTTTTCTTTCAATATCAAGTCATCAACATAATTTATAATCTATTAAAATGGCTTAACATTAACAATTAAAAAATCCTGTCTATGTTAAAACTACAAACTATTGTTTAATTATAAAAGAGGAAGAGTATCTATATTGTAGTAGTATATTCCTATAATATAAAAATAGATAGAGTATTTATCCGCATTATTATTATATATTAATATCATAAATATGAAAGTTTGTGAGTATGTATAGATGTTTGTTACTCTTTCACGCCAGAACGGCTGAACGGATCTGGATGAAATTTGGCACATGGATAGATTATAGTCTGGAATAACACATAGGCTATTTTTTATCCCGGAAAAATGTACGGTTCCCGTGGGATAGGTTTGTATTCGTTTTCCTAGGGGTGAAACCGAGCGAAGCGAGGGTGAGCCGCCAGTATTGCATAAGCTTGGCGATAAGTAGAAGAGACATGCATGTTTAATAAATAATACTGTATAAAACGTAAGTTTTTTTTGATGACTATCAAATTATGTTGTTAATAGGTACCTACTCGTAGTACGATAGCATTTGAACTTAATTATAAAAATATACTTTTCAGATATACCTACTCGTTTTTTTTATAATTCTCATGTTATTTTCGTGTAATTTTTAAATTATTTACATAATAAGATGAGATATTTGCCAAATTTGAATACTGATACCACACCCACCAAGACAGCTGAACTGGTTATATTTGTTTGGTTTCTATGTTATTAATCTTCTAGATGCTAGTAACCTGCTTCGGTTAATTTTCCATATATTAAAATTCCTTTCTTATTGTTAGTCCATGACATAATAGGATTAGACTGTGATAATTGAGAGTCTAAATTTTAGACCTTTGATGAATTTGGCGACATTTCTGTATAGAACACTGCTGAGTGCAGTAGGTAAGTACTTTGCAGCCTCAAAAGGAGGAGATTCGGAGAAGATCCTATATTTATACGTTTTCAGTTTAGTTAGAGATACTAATATACATATACTAGATTTTTTTTTTATCAAGTATTAGCTTTATTCATTTGGCACACCTTATATACTCTCATAGGGTATTAATATTGTAATTCTCACTTTGACCAATATAATAACGGTTATGTGCGTTTTTGTTAGGAAATAAAGATAGCTTATATGTCAGATCACTACATTTACACACGACACGCGAGTGGAACTGCGGGTTAAAATAGTACTTACTGTATATATTATAATACGTTAAAAGTCTACTTTTGTACAGTTCAGGGAGACTGGTATTGAAGCCTTGAAGGTCACTTGGCCACGCTGGATTCTTTGTCCGAGAAACAGGAAGCACGCTGTAGAATGTTAGTGGTACATTCACTCTGGCTTTTGTTTACTCTATGGTAGTACTTTGTGTTATTAATATTGACATTTTGTAATATGACTACCGTGTATGTCAAAACTGTTAGACGTAGGAAATTAAAATATACATATAACAGCTACGTATATTTACATTTATTTATAAAAACATAGATATCTACATATTTCCTAACAAATCTATACATATAATAAAATAAAATTGTAACTAAGCGGAATCTGTACATTAAACATTTTTTGGAAAATCTTATTGAAATAAACATTATTATCGATACAGAAGCTCCGAATCTATAGTTTTTAGAACTTTTGTCTATCTGCCTGTCTGTCTGTTACCGCATCACAGAAAAACCACTGGAGGGATTTTGATGAAATTTGGTATAGTGATAGCTGGTTATTCGGGTCAACATATAGGTAACTTTTTACCGCGGGAAAATGTCTCATTTCTGAGAAAAAATACAAAATCTGCAATGTAAGAGTATACTAACAAGTAAAACCCAAGAATTTAGTATCTTATATCTCTTCAAAAAGTGGCGTCGACATGTCACGTTAAGTCAAACCATAGAATAAAATTCTAAAATTGAAAGTTCCAATTGTCTAAACACAAATTCGAACTTACGCACACCACATAAAGAACTTTTTTTTAACGAAACAATGATGTTGGTGGTTTTTTATTTGAATTGTGTTTGAAGTTTTAGAACATCCATGATGTATAAGGTATTTATTCAAAAACCTTTGTGAAACAATTTTCACAACATTTTAAATAAAACTATTTTCTTCGTTTTTTTGCAGATTAAGTCTTATAAACCATATAAACTTGAAAAAACACAAATTGAGAAATACCAGCATACATATTTATATTATACAAAATAATATATACAGAATACTTATTTTTTAAATTCGTAAATAGGTATCTCATTTTCTTTGGCACATCAATATATAACAGACGAGAGACAGAGAGAAGTATCTATATGTATATATAATAAATCCATTATATTTTTGTACTATTTTAAGTGGCAGCCCAGTGGTAAAGCGCTAGCTTGAGAAACCGATTGAAGCGGGTTCAAATGCCGGGTCTCACACAAAGTGATATTTTCATGAGCGAATCATTTCCAACATGATTACCACTGGTCTTACGGTAAAGAAAAAACATCAGGAGGGAACCTACAGTCTGAGAGAACCTAGCAAGTTTTCGAAAGACATGTGGAGTCCGCCCACCCGCACTTGGCCAGCGTGGTGGACTATGACCTGATTCCCCTCGTATTGAAGGGCGGCCCGTGCCCAGCAGTGGGACGTTAAAAAGGGCTGAATAAGTACATATGTTGTAGAACTTGAACTATGACATATATCACCCTATTTTACTATTTGAATTTGGGAATAAAATGAATAGAAAGTGCAGATACATACATGATACACTATATAACACACTTTATGCACTAAAATATCTAACCATATGAGATTTTTTGGGTGTGGTCAAAATCAGTCAGAAAGACAGGTCATAATTTCAAGATTTATATTAACGAATATTTGTTGTATAAGTACCTGGAGACGAAGTTTCTAAATAAAAAGAGCTTTTGTTTCGTAATGTCAAAAGGACTGCCGGATAAATTCAAGAGGACCCGCGGGCATAAGCTATTAATACATATTATAAATATTTCACGGACTAAAACAAAATAATTTTAATAGTGTTACAAACTGGTTAAACTTGACTTGCTAATAACGACGTGAAAGGCCGGTATTAATGTCATTAATTTTGTGTTATGTATACAATTTTCGCTGATAGTTTTTTGCAAAAAATGTCTTTTTAACACAAAAAAAAAGATAATTAAACTTGTATTCAAATATGCAAAACAATGTACATTGCCTAGTGACCTACTTGATATTTG